TAAGTGATAATATGCAATTAAAGGTGGTAGGTCAGTAGCGGCTAGCCCATAAGGACTCTCGGACGCCGCCCTCCCAACAATACAGAAATCAATATTTTTTTTATTTATGTAATAAAAAAATAATATGTCGTAATTAAAATTAAATTACAATTACTTACGACTACTTAATCAATATGATAATAATATGAAATGAAATAGTTTTAAATTTTGAATCCAGTAATGACTGTTTTGCGATAGTCGCTTTCATAATGTGGAATGCGGACGGCGGCAACCTCCGTCCCAAACTCAATGCATGTAGTCTTATGGTAGAAACACCTAACAGCGCTGAGGGTGCCGTGACGTCATTCCAATGCTTTACAATAGGGACTCTGGGGCAGAGTCCAAAGCTGCGCGCGCATCCATAAATCAGGGCAGCCACCCTAAACTGGATAATTCTGCATCACACACGATTAGGATAGGAAGAACCATGTTGGCAGCGCTGGAGCCATCATCCACACTGTCACTACCATAAACATTAACTAACCTCACTTCTTTCCATGTCCATGACCACAGTTCAGTTATAGTTTAGTGCCAAACGACCTGTTGTTTTGTGATCAATAGTGTTTAGTGATAGTGATGGAGGCGTAAGGAAGGCAGCGGTAGTTTGTTGAAGATTGAAAGAGCTAAGTAGAAATTATTAATAGTTATACTTAATTGATTGAGTTAGTTAGTTGGTATCTTTGAGTCAATAGCCTAAGTTACGTCTGTAGTTTTAGTATAGGCTAACCTAATCAACCCGAAAACTAAGTAAACTAACCATAGGTAAAGTGACTCGGACAATTTTAGTTATAGTTACTTATTATTAGTCTTAATAAGTTATTACGGGTAAATTTGCCGTGGGCTGAAGGCCTAAATCTAAATATTAATGGACGGCGGCATTTCGTTGTCGTCGACGGCTAACGTCACTAACGAAGTTAGCCTGATTATCAATGAAGGGATCAAAAATATTGACCACAGAATTTCTTTGAAAAAATTAGGACCTCCTAGACCTTTCATGAACATAAACCAAATTCAAAACAGTTCAAAGAATAAGAATAGCTTCACACGAAAATTTTCGCCACATATGTACAATCATGCAGATTGGCTATGTGGTTGTTCAATTAAAAATTCATTTTTCTGCTACACTTGTTTGGTCATGGGGGTTCAAGATAGAGCATGGACTGTAGACGGCATTTCAGACCTTAAACATCTACTGGAAAAAGTAAAAAAACACAAAACAAGTGAAAAACACATAAATGCGTCAATAGAATATGCTGTTTTAGGTAAAGTTGATATTAGATGCCAATTGGACCATGCATATAGGTTAAAAATACAAAAACAAAATGAAGATGTTTCGAAAAATCGATACATTCTAAGTAAGCTAATTGATGCAATTAAATTTTGTGGAGCGTTTGAATTAGCATTACGAGGACATGATGAACGCGAAAATTCAAAAAATCCTGGCATATTTCGTGGTTTGGTTAACCTTATGGCGGAGCTGGATGTAACATTGCAACAGCACATAAATCAAACAAATAACCGAGTGTTTTTGGGTCTGTCCAAAACCATACAGAACGAGTTATTGGACTCAATATATTACGTTTGTCTGCAAATGATTCGTGACGAATTGACACAAACCGACTATGTTGCTATTGAAGCCGACGAAACAACAGACTGTGCCACTTTATCCCAACTAGTATTTGTTATTAGGTACGAGCTGAATGGCACGATTCACGAGCGATTTATCACTTTTATTAGACCAAAAGGCCATGATGCAGAATCAGTTAGCGAAACAATTTTTGAAGTATTAGAGCAATTAAACCTCGACAAAACTCCTGATAAAGTCATTGCCCAGAGCTACGATGGGGCTTCCGTAATGAGTGGCCAACACACGGGAGTACAAGCGCGTGTAAAATCTAAATATAAGAATGCAAATTTTGTCCACTGTTACGCACATCAATTAAACTTAATCATTGAACGCAGTGCTACACAAAATAAGCAGGTTAAGATATTCTTCAGTAATATCGAGGGGTTTTCATCATTCTTTTCCCAGTCAACAAAGAGAACTGCAGTTCTCGATGAGATAGTAAAACGTCGTATTCCAAAAAGCTCAGGTACTCGGTGGAATTTTAAATCCAGAATTGTAAGCACAATTTTTAATTATCAAAGAGAGTTGGAGGAATGTTTAAGTTACATACTCGACGATGACACCAATGACTATGCCACAATAAATAAAGCTGTTGGCCTAAGAAGTATTCTAAAAGACGAAGACTTTATTTTCTGGCTGGACTTTTTCAATCAAATACTGCCCCACAGTGACATTCTGTACAACCAACTGCAGCAAACAACAATTGATTGCGTCAAGGCGTTTAAGTTTGTAGGCGATTTCAAAACTGTGGTAGATCGCGTAAGAAACTCGACCATGTTAGATAAACCGAGAGATAGTGAACCCGAATCGAGCAAAAAGCGGAGAAGGCACGACGATCAAAAACGCGTCGTCGCAAAGGAAGTGTGTGACATAATTACGTCGGGAATTGATGACCGTTTTACGTTTGTAAATCATTTGTCCGCGGCAAAACTGTTTCAGCCAAGTTTGTTTGGGGAGTTTAAAACCAAGTTTCCCGAAAAAGAGTTACACGCTGCTGCGGAACTATTTAGCCTAAATAAAACTGAATTGAAACAGGAGTTAAATGTTATTTACAATAGGGATGATTTTTCAACGGCCACAGGGTCATTAAGACTACTCAACTTTGTCTATGACAACAACCTCAAAGATGTGCTTCCAGAGTCAATCAAACTTTTAAAAATCATAAGCACAATACCTATGACTACTTCGGAAAGTGAACGTTGTTTCTCTACTTTGAAACGAATTAAAACGTTTACCAGGAGTACCATGAAACAAGACAGACTAAGTGCGCTTGCTATGTGTTCTATCGAAAAAAAGCTGTTGTCAACTTTAAACTTCAACGAAAAAGTAATAGATCACTTCGCCGGGCAGAAAGAAAGGAGGATGGATTTCACATTCAAACAGTACAATTAAAGTTAGGCCTTATCCTCATGGTATGGTTTTCTACTCATATTGCCGTGGATGTTTTAATATAAAATACAATTAGTCAAGCCTTACCCTCATGGTTTGGTTTTCTATTCGTTATTGCAGTGGGTGTTTAAATTATACAATTCAATCAATGTCAGGCCTTACCGTTTGGTTATCTACTCATTATTGCCGTGGATTTTTTACTATTAAATTATCAATTGTTAGTTATATGTTCAATACAGTGTAGTCCCGTTTTACAAGGCCGTAGGCCGGGAGGGGGTTAGAGGGTCAAACCCCTCCCCCAAAATTCCGAAATTACGCAGTACAAATTAAAACTAGGTTTAAAAAGTTGAATTATGAAATAGAAACCACAATAGAGAATTAATTGTTATGTTTTGCAATATCTATTCATATTTAATATAGGCCTAGTTCTATTAGGATAATAAATCTGATCTATTAAATAAATTGGTAAAAACTATTTAAAAAATATATTTTGCTTTACTCTACTTATGTCTATTTGCTCATGCATGACAAACAACAGGTGAAATGGGAGTTTTTGGACTATTATTGGACACAGTTTTAGGCGTTAAAATTGCTTCAGAAAGTCACCAAACGGCTTTAAAAATTTAAAATTTTTTCCGGGGGAGGACCCCCGGACCCCCCTCTTCTGTTGGGGGGTGCTCCACACCCCCCAAACCCCCCGGAGCCCCCCCCTAGACTAGGTCCTAGAGCCGCCACTGTGGTAGGTAGCTACTGCACTTTAAACCAGTGTGTGTGAATCAACTGCAAATCTCACTTCAAGGCTTTTCAAATTGACACAATTGCAGTTTAATAGTAAAATTATTGGATTCAAATGCATATCGTATATGCCTAAAATCAGATGAAGGAATTGGATGGTCACGTGGTATTAACGAGAAATTTTCTATACGGTATTAAGTCTGCCAGAATTTTTCTTTGCGCGTGTAAATTAGCAGTTCTGAATTATATTCAGTTTTAATTGACTACTCGATTCCCGTACGTAGGGCGGGCTAACATCTAGTATGGTTATTATATCTATTCTATCTGATAATGTATCAATAAAATTATTTATTATGTTGCCTCCAATATAAGAAATAATAATAATACTTAAAATTTAGGTTGTAATTAATTTACTTTGTAAACTTATTTCACTACAATAAAAAAACGTCATGAATAAAATAATTTATTGAGACATAAAAAAATTTTGATGGTTGATGTTGGTAAATTTTGCTATTAGAACAGCGTCACGATGGCAACACCTTGGTCTACAGTAAGGGACTTTAGAGCTGTGACTTTCTCCTTGCCCGTTTTAAAAAGAATCCCATCAAAACAACTGAAAAATAAATTAATTCTTTGATTACTTCTATTAGTTATAACAAATTTTGGATGTACATTTTATTTCTTGTACCTATAAAGTTTAGGACAGACGGTAGAGGAAAATTGAAAAGATAAAGATTTCTTTTAGAATTTACTGCAGATTAAAATTGTTTGATCAAATTCTTCAAGAGCGACATACAGTTTTGTGTGTATTTTAAGCTGAATATGTAGGGTGTTTGTAGAAAGGAGTGAGATTCCCTGTTGTTGGTGCCATACAATAAACCAAAGTGTAACACTCACAATCATGAATACTTCAAAATCTAACTAATCTAGATTCTATGCCACCAGAGGATATTTTATCTTTGATCATTATTCCAGCTCATCCAGTTATATAGTTTAACACTTTGCATCTAAAAGGATTATATGTCAAAAGCCAATTGAGACAAACTTTCTACATAACATTTTTTTAATAACAAGATTAATCTTTGTTACTTTCCAGCAGCTAAAACATTACGTTTAAAATTATCCTTTGTGTTCAAGCTGTCAATACTGTGATTACAAAGATATTATTACTATTAAGACATAAAATAAGTTACTTAAGCTCTTGACTTACTTTATTTTCTCATGAAGAGCTGTACGAAAGTCTTCGGCTGCTTCTTGAGATTCTACTTCCAGAAGGTCCAGCTCTCTCAACTCGTTCTCGCTCAGGCTCATAGAAACCTACGAGAATCAACACACCACCTTATAAACTAGCTATATTTTGTGATAACAAAAAACGAAGCATTTATAAGGGACAATTAAATTTAACCATCAGAATCTGACATTTTAACAGATTTAATTAATAATAATCTCTTGGTTTAAATTTCAAAGCAAAATCAAACTTTAAACAGCAGGCTTACTAAAAAATATTTGAGAGTAGGTCTAAGTTAACGGAGTCAAATAATTATCATGGCTTTTGACTTGATGCACTTGAGACTCTATCGTGAAATTTTACATTACCATGTTTCAGATGTTGCCAGTTTTGGAACAAAAAACTGTTTAAATAAGCTACAAACAGGACAGAGTACTGCTGTGGTAAAATCAAGTTTTCTTTCTTAACTACATAAATAAACTTTAAAATCATTCAAAGATGAAAGGGTAGCTTATTGTATACTATTGCATCTCAGGGCCCCGTCGACTATCAACTAAAGTCTGACAAAACTAAACAGGAAAAAAATTGGAATAGTTAAACGTTTTATGCTTATGCGAGACTCATTCAACTATATTCTCTTCTATTACTTTAACTACGACTGGTCCATAAAATTCAAAATTCCTACTTCAAAATTGAAAGTAGTTGTCACAATTTAAATGAACAGAAAGTCAACTTGTTTTGGTTGAAATATATAAAAATGTATCGCTGTGCCGGTAGGTTTTGTTAAAGTGAAAGATTTCTCAAAATCTGGCAAAATTATTTGGTATTTTTATTTTTCACCAAATAATATTTATTTTCAGGTTTTTTTCACCTATTTAAAAAGTCAGTATGGACTTAACAGAGAGAAAACACCAATGAGCTTTGATAAAGAATCAAAATGGCTGCTTAAAAAAAAAAACAAAAAAAAAAAAAAAATTGCTAGAAAGAGTCCCAAGTGTTCTATGTTACATCCTTACCCAAAAAAGAAACAGAAAAGTTATCATTGGACGCATTAGCAACAAAACTTTTTGATCCCTTATGAAGAAAGAATACATACTTTTCAGTAAATCTTGGTTATATCAACCAATTCTTTTTAACTAGAAGTCAATGGGATTTGTAACCAAATGTATTCAACTGTTATTTTTTAATTTTTCATAATTAAAAAACTTGATGGATGTTAAAATTCTTAAATGACCACCATTTTAAATTCCTTAGACGGATTACTTTTTAAAAAAAAAGATTTACCCCGACTAACAAAATAGTTCAGCGAATCAAAAGGAAAAATTGTTTTGCAAAAACGCCAGGTGTTTGGATGTCTGAGTAGGCATTATATAACAGACATTCATTAGAAACTATGTTTACTTATTTTGCCTGGATAACCACAATTTTAGTAACACTCTGGCTGTGTAAAAGCAAATCCTCGAGATATAAAGAAAGGAAAACCCCAAAATAAAAGTGCTTTGGTAATGTAAGAAAACAATTGCAGCTTTTGGAATAAGATGTTCTTAGTCCTCAGATTAAAAAATATGAAATAACCACTATAAACATATAACATTTTCCACACTTGTTAACAAAAACAGTGGTCAAAAGTAGGAACAAAAATAAGACAAGTGTACCATTTTAAATAGAAAAAATCAATTACAATAAATTCTTATTTATGTTTCATTAACTGAGTATGTTAAACAGATTAACTTTGAAATGGAAGGATGATTATGAGAATGTTAATAAATCTTTAAATATCCAAATTATAACTTAGACTGTACTAAACTACTGTCAAATCTATGTACATACATACTCCAAATTATGATAATGAATTGAATAAGTAACATTTCACCACTAATAAAGGGAAATCGTAGTTAAAGTGAGAGTATGAAAAACATCTGAACTAATACTCAAATAGTAGTTTATTTATAAAAAATAATTTTAAACTAATTACAGAGACTTTGGTGTATGCTGGGTTCAAACTCCTGATCATGAAGTTATAAAGGATGGTGAACAATTGCTAACTCGTTCACTATGATAAGCATATTGAAGAAAAGACTTTAGAAACAAATGTGAAAATACACTTCAACTAACTCGCATAAAAAGCAGATAATGTAATGAGAATTGTATTAGTTCTACAGATCTTCCCCTATTTATCAAATTGGAAGGAAATAAAAGCCCACAGCATTCAAAAAATAAAAGCTTCAAGAATACTTTTTAACCTGTCAAAAGATAATAAGATAGATCGAATGGAAACTAATTTTATTATTATGCCAAACCAGTTGCTGTATTAATACTAAAAACCTGTCAAATGATAATGAGATAGATCGAATCGAAACTAATTTTATTATTATGCCAAACCAGTTGCTGTATTAACATTAACATTGCATTAAAGGAGTAGAATGTTGTCATTTGTATCATTGTTGTGGTTTTTTACTGATTTATAACAAAACAGTTTTAATAAAATATGTCTACTAAACAGTTTAGTTTAAAAAAAAAAGATAACAATAATTTACAAATAGATTTATAACTACTTTGGTAATTAATAGCAAGCTCAAACCGTTTTCCTTCGACTAATACGATTACAGTACTGATTAGTGACACATGATCAAAAACACCAAAGCCATACGACAGAGGGATCAAATAATTTTTTTCTTCAATATTTCTTTGTGGATCTCAAAAGATTTGAACAAGGTTTCAGAGGTATTAGCTGTGTCTTCTTATTTCCTCCAATGCAATGTAAGTAAAATGAGGTCCTGCTAACACAAACTATTCTAAACACAACTGTTCAGATTACGCTATAGTTACGTTATAGTTGGCTGGAATGGCAATAAAAAAACAAGTTTGACAATAAAGAATGAAGCAGAAGAACAGTTGTAATATTGGCATTTGTGGTTCACGTTTCCCTAACTGGTGTAACTTGGAATTGGGTTTGATAAATTCTTAAAAACATGAGTCTTTTAAACAACAAAACTCTGTATCTGTTAAAATAAAACAAAGATTTTTTTTTTAGTAAGGGACGTTTTTGGAAAAAGCTCCGTAGTTCCTGAGGCGGCTCCATAATGAGACGGTGCGCAACTGTCCGACACCTTGTGAACATAATCACACTATTTACAGCTCTGTATCTCACCTGTATACTTTGCTGTGTATCTACAACATTTTAAAAATTAATAAATCTTCTGCTGCATGCGAGATAAGATAAGTGATACATTTAATATTGCTAGAAACATGTCCGATGTAGACATTCATCGCTAGATAACTAACTTAAATTTATGGCCCTAATGCAATGCTTTAGTGAGAATAAAGTGCGGAAATGAGTTAGGGGAATTAAAAATGGCCAGGAAAATGTCCATGATGAAGAACGCTCAGGCTGGCCTTGGCAGGGCTTTGGCTTCGAAATCAGTGAGGGAGGTTGTCATTCCAACAATTTTGCTTGGATTCAGGGATGTCCATTTTGACTGGGACGGGTGGCGTCGTCCTGTAATCCAGCTACTAGGAGGTCGCGAATTGTGGATATTTATAGGCATGCACTGTGGATGCGATACTCCCTGGTGTGGATTAACGTCCGCACGGGTGAGTACTACGACTATCCGCAGTGCTATCCTGATGATTAGACCAATTCGTATATACCAAGGAAAAAAAGTGGTTCGGATTCCACATCAATCAATCAATCAATCAAAATAACTTTATTCATATTGCACATTTTGTACAGAATGGAGTCAGTTATAAAAACACAATATTAAACTTATAACTACTTACAAAGAAAATTGTTATTATAAAAAAATCAAATTTCAGGAAGTTGGAAAAAATCTTCTAATTTATACAAGGGTCTGTTGGTGAGAAATAATTTCAAACGTTTTTTAAATGAATTAAAATTACTTATATTTTTTATATTGTCAGGTAAGCTATTGAAATATTTAACACCACTATAAGATGGAATTTTTTCATAAACCGATAAATTATGTCTGTTGAACGCCAATTCATTACCTTTTCTGGTTGAATATGTATGAAAAGAGTTCAATTTTGGCAATCTTTCATGGTTTGATTTAATATAAAGGGCTATTTGATAAATGTATAAGCTAAAAACAGTCATAATTCCCATTTCTTTAAACTGCTCTTTTGCGGATGTTTCAAAATAGCACATTAAACTGTAGGTCCCTTAGTCGCCATTAGCTGTATGGGCTATTAATTAAAAGATATGTCGGCCTTAGTCACCAACAAGACTACAAGATCGCGCCACTCATCATACACTCATCTCCATTCATACTTGGCTTAAAATACCTACTTTGTATGGTCACCATTTCAAGAAAAGTATTAAGTATTAAGTATTAAGATGATATGAGGTACACATGTTTCATTACCAGTAATGATTTGACTCCAAATTTCAAACGCATCAAACGCATCTTCCTTGTAACGCATCAAAATATCAAAAATATCATAAACACTAAATTTGTGTCAAATTGTGTTCCAAACAAAATACTATAAACTCTCCTACTCATTTTCCACACTTACCTCTCACTCATTGCACTAGGGCCATAAACTTCAGTCAAGGGGTCATGAATGTCTGCATCAGATAGGTTTATTACAGTCAAAAAACTTATCACTGACTTTATCTTGCAGGCGGCAAAAGAATAAATACTTTAAAAAATGTTCAAGGCACACGCAAGGTGTACTTGTCAGCTGCAAATAGCACAATTGCTTAAGTCACTTTGGGGCGTGCACGAAAACTACGAAAATCTTTATGCACAAACGGCCCTTACTTATAAAATACGTCTTTAGTGGTGGATTAGCAGGTCCGGATTTTATATATTTAAAAATATATATTACATTTTTATCCAAAACCATTACAAAAAGATATCTATCTACCAAATGCAATATGTAAAGTATGTTAATTTACATTACATTGCAATTTACTACATATTATAAATGTCGAATTATGTACATTGATTAATAATAGAAATGTTATCTAAAATAATGTGAAAAATGTTTCTAAAAGACTATGATAAAATAGCACAATGGGCAATAGACATTATAAACAACACATTTTCTACAAACTAAGCATGACTAATAAAATCTAATACAACACAATAAATGTGTTACAATAAATAAATACAATTGATTTACCCGTTTGTATAACATTTATTACATCTCCAACTTACTTGTTCGATGTTCAAACTAATTCCAGAGTAAAAACTTAAATTTAAAATAATGTAAAAAATTTACGTATTCACTACGTTGTACATTAGGAAAAAATTAGGGCAATAAAAATTAAAAATAAAAAAATATTATATAGTTCATTGAAATTCTACAAAGTTGTTTAAAATGTACTGAATTTGCTATTTTAAATCTTTTGTCTTTTGTACAACCTTTTGTCAGCAACATTAAGTTACTAAACAAGATTTTTGTTTCCGTCAAAATGGATGTATTGAATCAATAACTTCTAACCAATTTCAAGCTTTTAAAAAAATATTAGACATCCAAATTGTGCAAAGACTATATGTAAAATAAGATCTACCATCGCAGCCAAGCGAGACAGATAAAACCTGAGACCAGCTTTGTATTCTTTACTTCATTCACTACTACAAAACGTCAAAAACAATGAGAAGGATAATCGCTAATCTCGCCAAGTATGAATCATAGTCTATGATTAGGTTTCCTTGGAAAATGGGTCAACCGTTACTAAACTCCATTGCCAGTTAACAGCTGTGTTGGCAGAAAAGCATTTAGACAAAGGACAAGTGGCATTGGGATTTCACAGCAGGCCATACGCATTTGCACAAAGCTGGCAGCAGAAATTTTGGACTTAATTCACTACCCAGGATTGGTATATTAGGTTGGGTTAGGTTTAGGACTATGTTTACGGACCTTTTGCCTTAACATAGTCCTAAACCTAATACAGTGAACTAATTCGTGGTAGTGAGTTAACAGAAAGGGTCCGAAACTTTGCATGTTATCAAGTACGAAGGTATAACATATATTCAGAACCAGGATTAGGTAGAAAGAAATATAGTTTGCCCAATATTGAACATCATAATCAATTGATCAATAATGGTCAAGAAATAGCTGAACATTTTAATAACAAATTTGCTGACATTGCAAAATCAAATTCTGCTAACTTTCACCTTTTCAATGCTCATATACTGTTGAGAAATTTTAACCTCAATCTTAATATACCTAGTTTTGATTTTCACCAATTTCAAAAGAAAAAGTATCTACAGCAATTTGGTCCATAAAAATAAAATGTCAGCCGGTTTGTAACGCTGATAAAAAAAAAAAACAACAATATTATTGCAGGTCCATTAAGCTTTATAATAAACCAATGTTTACAGAGTGGAATTTTTCCTAATCAACTAAAATTCGCTGTAATTAAACCACTTTTTAAGAACAGCAGTAAGTCAAATCCTGACAACTACCGTCTGATTTCAATTTTACCAGCTTTCTCTAAAGTATTTAAAAAAGTTATTAGCGACCAAATATCATCTTTTTTTGAAAGAAACAACATTTTTGTGACAGAACAATATGGTTTTAGATCAGGACGTAGTACAACTCAGGCTCTGTCTGACTTCTTGTGGGAGGTCGGGTGTGGCATTGATAGGTCTCAGAATGTTGCTGGAATGTTTTGTGACTTGTCAAAAGCCTTTGACTGTGTTGTAGATAAAGCTTTATTTTCGAAGCTTAAATTTCACAATTTCTCTCCACTTGCTTTGAAGTTGTTAAAATCCCATCTTTCAAACCGCTTCCAAAGAACTATTATTTTTAAAGATTAAAGATTTTAAAGACTTTTCAAAATGAAAAATGAGCTACTGTGGTGTACCTCAGGGCTCTAACATGGGGCCTTTGTTGTTTTTAATCTATATTAACGACCTGCCTTTTAATTTAAACTCAAAGCTTGTTCTAGCTGGTGATACAACAGCTATAGGCTATTAAAATCAAACAGCCCTAACAATTTACAAAATTTTATAAACCAAACTTTTGAGGATCCAAACAAATCGTTCACAGCAAATGGGCTTAGTCTTAATTGTTCTAAAACTCAAGTTGTTAGGTTCAAAACTACTCATGATAGAGAAAACATTGAATTAAATATTAATATTCAGGGAAAAATCATTAATGAAACCTCATCTAAAAAATTTTTAGGTAACCAGGTACAAAACACTTTAAATTGGGATAGATATACATCAATTGTAGCTAATAAACTTAATACAGTCTCTTTCCAGATGTCTGTCCTGCAGCATGTTACTGACCTCAAGACAAGGATGATTGTTTATTATGCTTTGTTTGTGTCAAACATGTTTTATGGAATAGAGTTCTGGGGAAACTGCTCAAATGGCGTAACCATTTTTTAAATTCAAAAAAGGATCCTTAGAATTATGATGACATTTTCAAAACCCAGACGATCCTGTAAATTATTATTTAGAGAGTTGAAAATATTAACGCTTCTGTCAATTTATATCCTGCAAACATTAATCTTGAAAAAAAAAACCTTGAATCTTTTATGAATGAAAACCATAGCCATAATTATTTAACAGGACACAGAAACAATTTACAACTGCCCATTCACAGACAATTTATTAAAAATTGTAAAATAAACTGCCTGAAAATATTAAATCACTAGAATCACTTAAAAAATACAAAAAAGAAATCGTCAAATTGCTGCTTGACAGAGTGTATTACAAAGTAAATGATTTTTTAAATTATGTATTTATTTGATTTTGAGTTATTATAGTTTTATGTCTTTTATGTATATGACCATTTCACCTGTTTCCTAGCTATGCTGGATCTGTGAACGTTTTGTAGAAATAAATTATTGACTTGACATAGTCCTAGATAAGTCTTACAGAGACTGCTCTCATCAGTTCAGCTAATTCTTGTTGTCACACTAACGGTCCATTGAATTACCCCAACTTTATTCACTGCTTCAAACCAGAATGATAAAAAACCGCGGCCATATTTTAAACGCAAAACATTGTAAACAAATGTATTTTTTTTACCACCTCCAATCTCCCTCAACCTCTTCCATACTTTTTATAGTCAGTGATTCCACACGACCAAAAAAATAATCCCCTTCACTAGGTTGAGAAATCCCGTTTAATCCCGCTTTTTAATTATGAAAAATTCCGTTTTATCTTGCATAATTTTTTCGTCCAATCCCGGGTGTTATATTACACCTATAGTGTTTATAATGGTAGTTTAAACATTGCTATTATATTTGTATACGGTAATTTAATTAATAATTGGGGTTAGTTATTCTCTAAAATTAAGTATAAAATCAAAACAGGCATCATACTCAAAAATCCCGATTCATCCCGCATCCTGTTTTAATCCCGCTTATGTCCTAAAAATCCCGTTTTTGGGATAATAATCCTGTGTATGAAAACACTGTTTATAGGTCCACATTCGTATAATGTCAACTAGTGATGGACTTGTGATGGTCGAGGACTTAGATCACAGAACGTTATTTATTTTTTGGGTGAGCATATTACATTTTCTTCCACATAGTTTTCAGTGACTAAAGAGAAAATTGTCCCTTAGGGGTTGGACAAAGTAAATATTTGGCGATGGTCTCAGATTTTACCAGCTCGCTTGGCTACAACAGGAGCTAGTAGACCATAAATTTACAGAGAAGCCTTGTACGACTATAACTTTGCTGAGTTTTAAAGATTTGGCAACAATCCTGTATTACTCCTGCAATATTAAGACATAAAATTAAAATTAAATTTAGAGACAGAAAAGTTATTGCATTTACATAGTTTCTGTGTTACATTTACCGATTAAAATTAAAATCTAGATTTTAAAACACAACTAGGCCTAAATGGCATTATTTCACTTCATCTATCACCTAATCTAAGCTATTCTACTACAAAAATGTGTCAACCTAAAACACCTTCTATAACAATAAAAAAAAAACACACACGTCCAGTAATAATATCACTAATTTCTATCGAGAATCATAAAAACATTGATACTGAGGATATCTTTCTTCAACTGTCGACACCGAACTACAAACGTCTGATGGGATTGGACACACAGGGCTAACAATGTGATTGCATGGACAAACTACCAGCAGAAAGCTTTAGTTCTGTAGAAAATCATGTGGGAAGCAAGATTATTTCTCAGAAAAAGGTTGCTATTAGGTTGTTATTTACCTTTATATTGTGACAAGCTCTAAGGGTTTTATTAATATTAGTAGTTCATTCGCTCATTGTAACCATTTCAGATTCTGGAAGCATAGCCCTCTTTGGTATGGTTCATATTGTGGTTTGTAGATTTACAATAGGCTAACTAAGGAATCATATAATATAATACATATAAAATAATTTATTTTCAATAATAAAAGTATGATAGGTAGTACCACAAACCATATCCCCAATCTTTATAGTATAATGTACCAGTATCCCAATATTTCCATTGTCAAAATTTTAATCAGGCCTATTTCATACATCAAAAATTTGCATGTTATTATATTAAAAGAAAACATATTTAAGTTAGTTAGCAGCTGATGCCTTACATAATTAATTAGAGCTATAAGTCATTTTCAAAGCGTTACCGGCATGTCAAAACGAACCAACTTTAAAAATGATATTATAAAGACATAAAAGTGATAACTTTACCTACAAAAGCTGGTAGTTTATGACACACAACTCTACTCTCTACTTCTGGTTCTCGCCCTACGGTAGCTACAAAGGAAGACAAAACTCGAAAAACCGTTTGTCACTTACAGTTCTCGGCTCTTTTATAATGGCAATATATTTTCCTGAACACACCCAGGACTTTGTCCTCGAAACAGAAAACATTCAAAGTTAACATACATTTACCCTTCACCAATATACACAGATGTTACGTACAAAATATGTTTAAAGCTAACGATTCACAGGAATTCAAATGTAAGATACAATGAGTGATTGGGTAACTAAGATCAGCAAGTGAATGTGAAACTTACCTTTGTGCGTTTAGGAGGGATTTGAGTTACGTCTAAGTGAACTTGCTTTTGGCACAGAGATTGCAGCAAGGCAATACCTGAAAACAAGAATTCGTTAACGAATTGGTGCTGTTTCTAGATGATTCTTCTATGGGAAATCAAAGCTACTATTGCGGGCTCTGCACCCTTCCACCTACCACAAATTGTCAGCTCAAAGAGAAACACATGCCCTGAAAACCTTATCCTGCTCAGCAAGGAGATAGAACGAGAAAGCTGGAGCTGTCTAGAAGGAGTTACTTGCCCTGATGAATGTTTAAATTCAATAAACGCTTGTCTCAATTATCATCTCAATTGTTGTAAAAAAAAAAAAATCAAAACAAAAATCTGATTTTCAAAAACCCACCTGGATCACTCGTGGCGCATTTTAGTGTCAAGGGAAAAACTAAAGGTCTATTGGATGCAGTTAAAAACCCACAATAGCATTGAGTTTAAAATCTTCTACAATTCATACAAACGAATATACAGGCAGGTACTGAGAGCAGCAAAAAGTTACGAAATAAACAAAAGGCTGAAAAGTGCTGATAATCTTTCAAAGGAGGATTGGTCAATCATAATCGAGAAAAAATTCTCGGCTAGAATTTCAAAACCAATTGAACTGGAGGTGGAAGGTAAAGCTGTTCTAGGGTCGCTGGAGGTGGCAAATGTCTTAAATAACTTGTTTGCGAATGTCATTGTTACTGGCCTCATACCTTCGGCTACTACTGGGCAGGTCAGCGTAGCCGAGTCGATGTATTTGACTGGCGTAACCGAACGGGAAGTGGAGAGAGAGATTTGTGAGCTAAAGGCAAAGAAATCAACGGATGTTAATGGTATGTCTACTTGGATATTTTAAAAATGCCCCAAGGGCATCACCAAATCAATAAATCTTTCTTTTGAGAATGGCCAATTTCCAAATTCACTCAAAGCTGCCAAAGTAATTCCAATTTTCAAGAAAAGGGATCCTCAGCAGCCAAGCAATTACAGGCCTATTTCTATCCTGCCGGTGCTAAGCAAAATTTATGAACGATTATTTATGCGCAGGATGATAAATTTCTTTGGCCGATTCAACGTTTTGTCCAAAGACCAGTTTGGTTTCTAGAAAGGAAAATATACTGTGGATGCAGTCATCCACTTATTGGAAATGATGGTCAGCAACTTAGGCAAACATAACATGACACTAAGTGTCTTTCTTGATATGTCTAAAGCATTTGATTGTATGGATCACAACATACTCCTTGACAAACTGTGGAGCAGTGGTATTTGAGGTTTGCCACATTTCTGGTTGAAGTCCTACCTTTCTGGAAGGACCCAGCAAGAGCAGGTCAACTGAGTACTTTCACATACCACCAGTCTGATATATGGCATCCCCCAGGGATCGATTCTCGGCCCCCTCCTATTTTTGGTGTATGTGAATGATTTTAAATTGGCAATACCTAATGGACGCATAGTCCAATACGCGGACCAATACCACTCGGGGGCATATCACCCATCTGCAATGATAGATGACACAGTCATCAAAGAAGTCGGGTTTTCAAAATTCCTCGGAATGCTCATTGATGGTGAGTTGACTTGAAATGAGCAAGTGGATAGTGATTGTAAGAAGGTGTCTTCAGCAATATACTTGCTGAGGAGCCTTTCACAACACTGTCCTACTGAGTTGTTGTTGATGGCTTATAGCGTTTTGATACAGTGCCACCTCTCATATGGCATTTCTCTGAGGGGAAATTGCTCCCAGAGAAATTTCAACCGTCTTTTCATTCTCCAGAAAAAAGCCATCCGTATCATAGCTAAACTTGGACGTAGAGAGTCATGTCGGGATACCTTTCGGGATTATAGCTTGCTCACGCTTGCTGGGCTGTACATCCTAGACTCTGCATTTTTTGCAAGTCTAAAGGCTGCCTAATGGCAGAGATGTACACGTTACGACACTAGATCCAGGGACGTGTATGGGCCAGTGCAGCAGTACCTGTATGACACGAATGCCGTCCCAGGCTGGTGTCGTTCTCCTGAATAGGATCCCGAAAGGTATTAGAGATTAAAACAGCAAAATCTATATATAAAGCCAAAAGTACCCGTGAACTTTTGAGAAAACTATAAGTCACACCCCCATAAACCATATTACTTATGACGAGAAACCTTGCGCAAAACTATCCATTATTTCATAAATTGCCCTATAAGGTCGTAATTGCTTTACAAAGGAAACTTTCCATTTACCTAATGTTAAAAAATACCTCAGCTGTTATTATTTGTAGGCCTATGTATTACCATTACTGTATTCTGTTTTGTTTATTTCAGCTTAACTTAACCAATCAATAAGTTTTATTAATACTTATGAAGTCAATTGGGTTGAAGCCCGTGGGTAACAGTAATTTAATTAATGCTTAATTTAAATTTAAAGCAAAATTAAGACGCTTCTTAGTGTCGAACGTGTTCTACTTGGTGGATGAGTTCATGTACCATAGGGAATAAACACGCATCGGCTTGAAGTTGGTTTCACCATGACAACGCAAAATAAATAACACTCTGGCTGTATCTTTTTGTCATGTTGTGATTTCATGGTTTAATTTGTTCTATTGTGCCCTTTTCTTTTATTTTGTATATGTTGACGCATGCTATGCAATCATTGTATCGTCTGAAGCAATAAAGATTATTATTATTATTATTATTATTGTTAAAACAAAGCCTTGATCTTTTATCATCTCCAAAAACAATTGTGATCTGACAATTTATCAAATTAGGGTTTTAAGAGAGCAGAGAAAAACACAGCATAACTTGCACCATTCCAATCTTGTATCAATAACAAAAATTAAATTTGCAACCAGTAACCAGTGAAAAAGTGGGTTCTTTTTTAAGTATTGAAATTTGAATTTGTTTATATTTGTGTCATAACTGTTTTCAGGTTTTGAGATTGGAAGTTTTTTGATTTGTTATGTAATGTGTGCTTGCTGTTTAATCACCAACTGGTTTAACATAACAGTCTACAGAAACAAAAACATGTCTGTACAAGTGATTTGTTTTGCTATACATGAAGACAGCCAGTAAGCCTATAATAGTTAACTCACCTTCTGATCGATCCCTACTTTGCTTCACCTCCCAAGCATCAAACAGCATGTTGTAGTACCTTGGGGCCTCGAAGAAATGATGATACTCATAGGTTTCTGTTGTTGGAAAAATCTTCTGAAAACTAAAGAAGGAAAGGCAATATTTAGTTAAGGTTGATCTTAAAAAAATTTGGTAATATTCTGAAAGAAATGCAGGTAAGGAACCAATATCTCTTTAGTTATGTAAAGTATTAGAAGGGAAATCAGTGAAAGGGTAAATCAGATCACGGATAATTTTCATTTATGCATTGCAAAGGTCAAAATGTGATAGGGTACATTTACGTTATCTATCATTCATATTTCGTGTCGATGTGCCGATCTACAACAGTAGTGTAATCGTGCATCTAGGTAGACTCAATATCATCCTAAGGCCGAGCGGTAGGAGCGACGGAGTAAAATGCAAGCAAACCCTGGTAGTCTCGAGTTATCCGAGCAAATAGGAGGTAAGTTTAGGCTAGTTAATCCTAACTGGAACAAAAACCTCACAGCATTGTAGATACATTTCTATTTAAATTCATTCTGACAAGTAATATTTGGCAAAGTAAATTACACATTTAAACTATGATACATTTGACTTAGGTACTAACAAAATATCAACATTGAAAAAACAACCTTCCGATTTGCGTAAGTTCATCTTCATATTGTACCAGGTGTCGTACATCATCAGGAGTCAGGTCTTGTACTATGGGGTCTAAATAATCTGTTCGGCATTCCATCTAAAACGAAAATACATTTAGACCTGGTTATTACATAAAATTATTCGTTAAATAGTAATAAGTTAGCTTAAAAGCATTATTGAGATATTTATTAAAAATGGTTTTCTATGGACTAAGTAATTTCTCCACAGTAAACAGATAATTAACTTAAAAATATTCACTTAGTACAATTTCTGAAATAGTTGTGTTGTAGCCAATAAAATTTATCATACCAAAAACTGAGTTACTTTTCCTTACGATCTAAAAGGGTTTTGAGTGTAGCAAAAAAATCATCAAGTACCAGTAGGTACCTAGTAGGGATGGTCGTCTCGAAATTTCAAAAAAATTCAGGGAAATTTTAAATCTCGTTATACGAGACGAGATTTCTTTTTAATCAAGATTTTTCAAGACAAGAATTTAAAAAAAATTAAAAACGCCTGCAGAAAGTCAATGCAATACCCGCAATACAGGAGCGCGTTGTAGTTGCACTTTCTTTTCGAAAGCGTTCTTTTTCAATTAATTCTTTAGATGTAAATATTAATTTAATTATTTTATCATTTAAGAGGAGTTTTGTTAAGTGCAAGCATGTTAATGTGAGGCATGTTTTACTACTATAAACAAAGCCAAAACAAATAATAAGTTTATACAAATTAATATTGCTTTTATTCAGGGTGTCTAGTTTATTTCCATTATAAAATTCAAGACTAATTCCAGACTTTTTAAGACTAATTACAGATTTTTCAAGACTAGTTTTTTCAACAATTAGAGCGTGTTGATACCAAAATGTATCGATTCTCGACTCTTGATACCGATACCAATTGTTATAGCTTAACAAAATTTTCTGAATAATACTACACCAACCCCTGTCTTTGTCATAAAGTAGTATCATGATAATGTGGTGTTTTCAAGTAAAGAAATTATGCAGCAATAAAAAATTCAAACTAGCAATTTTTTTTTCATGAAATCTTTCACGTACCGTACGTTTAGACATCATCATTGACTGCAGCGGTTACAGAAACGTGATCGTCGTCGTCCGCGATCACGGCAAAATCATGAACATTTCCCGCGGCCTTGTAGACATCAATGACATCATCGTCGTCTCCCGCTGTCTCAGAAACGTCATCGTCATCGTCCGCAATCGCGGCAAAATCATGAACATTTCCCGCGGCCGTGTAGACATCATCGTCGTCTCCCTCGGTCAAGGAAACGTCACCGTCGTCTCCCGCAGTCACGGAAACGTCATCGTCATCTCCCGCGGTCACGGAAACGTCATCGTCATCTCCCGCGGTCACGGAAACGTCATCGTTATCTCCTGCGGTCACGGAAACGTCATCGTCGTCGTCCGCGATCGCGACAAACTCATGAACATTTCCCGCGGTCACGGAATCGTCATCGTCGTCTCCCGCGGTCACGGAAACGTCATCCTTATCTCCCGCGGTCACGGAAACGTCATCGTCATCTCCCGCGATCGCGACAAAATCATTAACATTTCCCGCGGCCGAGCAGATATCATCGTCGTCTCCCGCGGTCACGGAAACATCATCGTCATCTCCCGCGGTCACGGAAACGTGATCGTCGTCGTCCACGATCGCGGCAAAATCATTAACATTTCCCGTGGCCTTGTAGACATCATCGTCGTCTCCCGCGGTCACGAAAACGTCATCGTTATCTCCTGCGGTCACGGAAACGTCATCGTCGTCGTCCGCGATCGTGACAAAATCATGAACATTTCCCGCGGCCGTGTAGACATCATCGTCATCTCCCGCGGTCACGGAAACCGTCATCGTCATCTCCCGCGGTCACGGACACGTCATCGTCATCTCCCGCGGTCACGGAAACGTCATCGTCGTCGTCCGCGATCGTGACAAAATCATGAACATTTACCGCGGCCGAGCAGATATCATCGTCGTCTCCCGCGGTCACGGAAACGTCATCGTCGTCTACCGCGGTCACGGATACGTCATCGTCGTCTCCCGCGGTCACGGAAACGTCATCGTCGTCTACCGCGGTCACGGATACGTCATCGTAGTCTCCCGCTGTCACAGTCGTCTTTCGTGGTTTCGGAAACGTCATCGTCGTCGTCCACTTTCGCGGCAAAATCGTGAACATTTCCCGAGGCCGTGTAGACATCACATTGGCTTTTGCGGTTACGTAAACGCAAGACGACGATCGCGGCAAAATCATGAAAATTCCCGACTTTGAAATCAAATTTAAGACTAAATCCCGACTTTCAAGACCATTTTGAAATTCAATACTTATTCCCGACTTACCCGATTTTCCAGACTACTAGACACCCTGTTTATTTCACGATTTATTTTATTTTAGGATAATTTTAACTCTATCCTAACTGATATCACCATATTTCCTAATCGTAAGCATTTTTAATAAGTTAGGCGTAGTAAATATACATTTTTTTACGCTGATGTTTTTTAATAAAAGATTTTAAATATTCTTCCTATCATTATTATTTTTGTATTTAAACAGTGGTCTAACAATGTTACAAAATCAGGTAATAATGTCAAACGTGCATTTCCCGTTGTGTATGAGAAATCTCGTCTCGATCTCGTCTCGAAATTTTATGAGGAATAAAAAATCTCGTATCGTCACGTCTCGAACTAAAAATCCAATCTCGTCCATCCCTTGTACCTAGTATAAAAAATGTAAGAGTGCAAACTAAACTTTAACTGTTCCATTAAATCTAAGGTAAAACTGGAATTAACAGTAGTTTTGGATGCTTGGTTTAAACGTTTAATAAGTATCCATTTTGGCTACACTTGCTTTTTTTCTATCCATGTTGTTTTTTCAAGTATGTCTAGTATAAAAAGTCAAATAATTTAAAAAGCAAAATCTATAACTTTAATCTAGTGGAAGTAGGAAATACCTGCTGGAAGTTGATGTGTTTTAATCTCTCCTCATGAGATAGAGCTGTGGTGTACAGACGACGGTCAAAACACAAGTTAGAGTCCAGCCCTAGACTCTCTGCCAACCCTTGCTGAACCTGATCAAACAAATCACAAAGTAGGCCTATAAGTAAGACAAATTGATCCATTTTAATATTATTAGTATATGTAATATACAAATAGGTTAAGCATCAAGAGTTACGTTATCACTCAACCATCAATAGACAATCATACTAATAATGAATAGTGATGGTCGGATCCGGATATCGGACTACTGGATATACTGGATATAGTATGACTTCAAAATAATGATTATATAATTCCAAATGAATAGCACTTCATTATGTTGTAATTTTAGGGATTGCCTGTTTTATCCAACCTTTTGGGTTATGCGACCTAGGTCTGGTCCCATTAGGGTCGGTTAAGAGGGGGTCTACTGTATCGTGGTTTTTGCGTGCAGCGTCCTATTTATTTATGCCTGGATCACCCCTTGCATATCTCTTCCTTAAATTCGGGTCAGGTCCACAGTACTGATAGCCGGGTATGTGAAATTCTACAGGTAAAATACTAGTGATGGACGAGACTAGATTTTTCACTTCGAGACGAGACGAGATTTTTTTAATTCCCGCGGGAGGGTTTTTTTTTCAAGATGAGATTTCATGGAAATTTATGATAAAAATTAATATCAAAGAACTGATATGGCAAGGCCATGTCTCGGTGTTTGTATCTTGATGCAATAATTTATATGGCAAGGTCATGTCTCAGCGTTTGTCTCTTGATGCAAATAACTTATATGGCAAGGCCATGTCTCAGGGTTTGTCTCTTGATGCAAATAACTTATATGGCAAGGCCATGTCTCAGTGTTTGTCTCTTGATGCAAATAATTGATATGGCAAGTCAATGTCTCAGTGTTTGTCTCTTGATGCAATAATTTATATTGCAAGGCCATGTCTCAGTGTTTGTCTCTTGATGCAAATAACTTATATGGCAAGGCCATGTCTCAGTGTTTGTCTCTTGATGCAAATAACTTATTTCACAAGACCATGTCTCAGTGTTTGTCTTTTGATGCAAATAACTTATATGGCAAGGCCATGTCTCAGTGTTTGTCTCTTGATGCAAATAACTTATATGGCAAGGCCATGTCTCAGTGTTTGTCTCTTGATGCAAATAACTTATTTCACAAGACCATGTCTCAGTGTTTGTATTTTGATGTAAAATAACATATATGGCAAGGCCATGTCTCAGTGTTTGTCTCTTTTTGTCTCTTGATGCAAATAACTTATATGGCAAGGCCATGTCTCAGTGTTTGTCTCTTGATGGAAACAACTTATATGACAAGGCCATGTCTCAGTGTTTGTTTTTTGATGCAAATAACATAACTTATTCAGCAAGGGCATGTACCTTTCCGGACCGAATCCGATCCGATTTTTCGGATATCTGCACACCTCTAGTTTTTATTTTTGTACCTGGATGTTTAGCTAACGGCCTATAATAAGTATAATAACGGCCTAAGTTTCGGGTCTTGTCCATCATTATAAAATAGCCTGTGTCTGTGTACAAGAAGATTATCTGTGTACATACAGGGTGAATAAAAAGTCAATACTCCCCTATCTAATATTTTTCTAAGTTAGAACACAGTATAGTCTTCCACAGACACAAGGTATTTTACCTGTAGAACTTCACATACCCGGCTATCAGTACTGTGGACCTGGAACGAATTTAAGGAAGAGATTAACGAGAGGTGATCCTGGCATAAATAAATTGGATGCTGCATGCAAAAACCACGATATAGCATACTCAAGATCAAACCTTTTGGTGGTCGTGCAAACTTAGCCCAAAGTTTCATTTTATGATTTTGAATAGTTTTAGTGTCCCCAAAAAATGAGGGATTATGGGCTTAACTGGAGATTACTCTATATATGATATATTAACCTTTAAACATTACCAATTTAATTTTAAACAGTATGATTTAAATTAGCATTCAGTTAATTACGTTTTTTTATACCTGCCCTTATGACAGTGTGTATCTGGATCCGGATCCGTATTTTTCAAGATCCGGATCCGGATCCGGTACCAACATTTTCTTGGATCCGCCCATCACTAATAATGAATAATCATTTCATGTTTTTATGTCAGAGTAAACCATTAGGAGTTTAATTAATTTTAGTCTTCGTTGTTTATAAATGAGGTTTAAAAATTAAAGTGAATGAGACATATATTCATGTTATTATGTCAGGGTCAGGAGATGGCATTTCTGTTTGCATTTATTGCATAATAATCATTGGTTATCACCTGAATTTGTTCTAACTTTAACTAGCCAAATGAGAGTAATGTGTTTAGCTATTGAGATTTGAGATAAGTTTTTGAAGTTTTAATTTTGGTTTCAAGATTTGAAATTTGTACTTTCGACCATCACTAAAAGAATCATCTGATTTTAGTAAAAAATAGCTACACAAAGTATTGTGACAGCATACGACCTACCTGAGCACTAAGCTTGTTTGGTATCTGGTAGCCAGCAATGTTCATGAGGTCCTGTACCATTGGTCCCTTGACTGCCAGATCTAGAGGTGAGGACGAGTGAAGCGAGGGTGAGATGTTCACCTGGAAAATAACCAATACTGAGTTTGGCTAATCTGAAATTATTGACCCAAACCCTGTTCGGATTACCTACAAGTTTGATATACAATAAAAGCATTAAATAGCATAAAAATAAATGTTAAGCACAGTAAATGGCATTTTCACTGCACTATAGTATATGTGTTTACAATCTGCGAAACATAGTTTTTTCAACAGCTGTCTATTGTTTACTACCGAAAGTAACACTGTTTACAACCAAAGATTTGCCACTGTCAATAACTTCAAATATTTGTTATTGTTTTATCAACTGTTTCAATTTTCCAACAACTAAAGTGAATATTAACTTTAAATTGAAGGCATAACCTAAAAAATTCTATGAGTTTTTTTAATGAAGAAAATAATTATTCTTTGTAGTGAGCAAAAAGTAACGTTCAAAACACAAGTGAAAGTGGGTCAATGACTCACTTTCTACTCTTGTTATAAAATATACTATATCATTATACTGATCTTGCAACCACGACAACATTGTGTACATCTCCTGCAACGACACCACCATTGTCACCGGACATAATAATGAAACTGAAATTGTTTTCTGTGATCGGAAAATATTCATGACTACCCACATTCTGTGATCATCTCCCGCAGTTACAGTCTCATTACACGAAGACCCTAAAAAGGACCCAATGAAATACAGTTGATTAACAGACGCTCAATCATAGATTTTACAATTATTGCATGTTTCTTGACTCCATGGGAAATTTCTGGCCCGTTTCCCGGTCATCAAAATTCATATACTATTCCCCCAGGTTTCTGGTTGGCTGGACACTTTGATTATTATTTCCCACATTGCTTTGCCAACCCCCCCCTCAACTGGTGTTTCTGGTTTGTAGAACTCTGGTATGTATTTTAACAGTCTATAGGAAGGAAGTTTAAATGGTCACTAAATAGTGAGAAATTATGGGGTATGTTAAAACCTCATTCTCAGCAATTCTCAGGTAAACTAGAAATATTCTCCTAGATAATTCTCCTACCTACTCACTGAATAAGTCCTATATTAGGACTAAGTATCAGTGTTTGACTCGCAAGTACGACTTCTATCACTCACCTCCAGCAGCCAGGGCCGCAGCTCATGGTCCAGTAGGACATCGATACCGAACAGCTCGTAGGAGCAGTAGCGAGACGCGAGGTTGGCCGAGCTGAGCTGACTGATGGGGGACTCTCCGCTGATGATGGTTTTGATCACCAAGTCCACCAATGTCTTCCACAAGGCCTTCACGTCCACCTTGCGTTCCTCCCTGAGGTACGTCCACAGCGCTTGCAGAGACCTGCAAACACCATGTGTGAACAGAACTAAAAATGAAGAACTATAATTTGGCTTGAAACAGAGTGGTTAGAAGGCTCAATTTATCAAATAAAATTTGGTAAGATGATTTTAAAATATTAGATCTGATGTTTGGAGTACCAGATCTAAGCACCAACTTGCCAACCAGGTTGGTGTAGGTACTGCTACCTTGCCGCAAAATACTATGACAAGCTACTCGTGACACTGTGTTGATGGATTAAACACAACTTTAAAGATGTGTTTCCATATCAAAATGACGTAACTTATATGAAAGTCTAGTTACCACTTGTGTCCCTGGCAGGCAGTCGCATCCTCATTCTGAGTGTACTGGCTGCTCAGTTTGTTGATGCTGTAGTTGGTCAGGTGCATGTAGCGGTCAGCCAATGAGGTGAACTCGTTCGAATATTTCACTGCAACACAGCAAACGCAAAAGTCAAATATTTGTGCACTAACTAACTGTAAATCTCAATCTATGTTCAGGGTTGTTTACTACTTCCCACATGATACCTTTCAGGTATTGTTACTTGCGATAGGTATCGGTAAGTAATCTACTACTTCTATCTAAAATAATAATTCACAAACACAGGTGATGTTATTTTAAACAATTCAAAATAGGCAAAATTCTACTGTTGGACTAGATTAAAATAGTAAATGTAATTAGATCCTTTCAGAATTGATAATCTTTCTTATCATGTACACATGCATCAATAAGTGCCCAAAGCTAAAAACTTAATTTACCCGAAGCGAACCGGACGAGTCCATTGTCGTACATGTAGATGCGCAGGGGGTTGATGCTGGTGACCAACACGTACAGCCGAAGGTCGAACTTGCTGCCGTTGATCAGATACGGGTTGAGGATGTATTTCTGCACCACGAGGGGACACTTCTTGGGTATCTGTGTCCACTTGTGAATCACCTTGATACCCGTTCCTCTCGCAGACGCTGGCTGGAAAAAATATAAACTTACTGCAATCTGACACAGTCACACAATGTTCTGCTTCTTTAATTTTACAGATTTTCTCTCCCTACTGAAGATGATAGGAATTATATCTATATCTATAATATGTGAAGCCGTTTTTTGTGAACACTACTCCTCCCTTATTTGTGGACCTATTTCAACAGGTGAGGTGTCAAAAAATTTGTCTCAATTTGTAGTTTTGCAATAAGGTTTTAGAATTTAAAAGTTCATACCCTTAAGGGCGCGAGGACTCCCAAAGGTCAATTTTTCACACAAGAATTACATAGAACAAATTTAAAACAAAACAAAAACAGCTGTTTAAAACTCAACAGCAGATTTTTGTGAGTAAATATTGATGTTTGTAATATTCAGGAGGTTATAGACCAATGTATATTGTTAAATAAACAGTTAAACAGTTTTGTTGGAAGAACAGAAAATGCCTTGAGTTCAAAGAAGAAATATTGAAACAGGTGGAAGATACGATTAATTAATCAGAGATCTTATGCGTATGAGAAGAGTACAAGAATAAAGGCCTAGCCAGTGAGGAATCCAGATACACACTTACTTGGGGAGATGAATAATATTTGCCAGTTCTGCTATGCAGCTTACTTTGAAAGTGAAAAAAAATACACAAAGAACATATTGTATTTTTGGTGGAAACGTAAACTTGGCTAATGTCAGATCAAATTAATAAATGCAAGAAATGTTTGCTGATAACAGCTATGGGTTATTCGGGAAACATTTGTAAAAAACACTTAAAACAAGGCAAGCTTCTGAAAAATTATAGATATTTACAAGAAGTGTTTAGTATATCAAACTGTTATTTACAGTGTGCATTTCCATTAGTTACACAGGCTTTTAGTTGAGTCTTTTTAAACTTATCAAAAATAATTATGACTGTTATTAGTTTTAAAATGACTCCTGTATGATACTAGTACTTGACAATTGCTCGATTTCGAGCAACAGGTACACTAGTTACTAAGTATTGTGCTAACATTTTATGTAATTAAAGATGTTTTGAAACCCTATCCAGATTCGTTACTTGTATTGCTTTTCCTTCCAAAATGAATTGCAAATCCGAATGTTAATTAAGATGCATGGTATTTCCTTATGAGTGATAACCCTTATTTTGCAATGATTGGTCAAAAGAATGGATTTTTCCATCAAAATAAGACTTTGGTTACTACTGAGAACATTTCATTACAAATACAGTAACTGTAAGAAAGATATTAAAATTTATGAGAAAGCTTGAGCAAGACAGGCTAAATGAAGCAGTACGCACCGGTTTGACGATCCATGTCTCCTTCCCACAGTTCTTTTCCCAAGCTGCACGCAACAGCTTGTTGTCTTGAGGCAGGACATACGTCTTTGGAATGAAACCGAACCTGAAATATAAAATTTTGTTGACACTGTGCATCACTCTTGACTCTCTGAATTGATTTTTAACTTAAAAGGGGGGAAATCTGTTTCAATAACTTGTCAATAAAGAATTAGCTTTAATAATCTTTTTTTAAGCCGTTGGCAGCCTCTTTTAACCTGTTATTTGCCCGACCACATTGGCCTCATACATATTTGAGGAACGGAAATAGCAAAGCAAGCTGTGAACATACAGTACAATTCTGCAATAGATAGCAAGTGAAGTTTAAAGAACAGTTAATAAAGGGTACTGATATAATTTAGTAGCAGACACTAGAACAAAAACCTACATCTCTGCGATAAAATTGTAGTACATCAAAATAACTCGCCTAGCTCTACCCCTAATTTGTATTATTGATGATTGACTGATACATTCTCTAACATATTAGAAACTAGAGATGCTTCAAAACAAAACCAACATTTATCGATAATCACTGATGATTTATTTACTTAACAAAATTGTCTATATGGATTGGTTATACTACACCAACCCACGTGTCTTCATACAAAGTAATTTTGGAGTAATGAGGTGTGTAAGTAAAGAAAAAAGTAAATCAGCAATGCAATTTTTCCCCCTACTGTAATACTGTACAAACAAACACATGCATCGATGATCGTATGAAAAAATAATAAATAAAGATAAGGGTAATGCCACACTAGGCTGTTTTTGTCGCTGGAGTTGGGCGGTTTCTGTCGCGCCAAAAATAGAACTCAAGGGATCAAATGGAGGGTGCCACACCGGTCGGGAATTGTCGCTCAGTGGAGTTGCCGCCCGCGACAGCCGTGCTGGAATGGGACTGGGGCTATTTCTTCGGCGGGAATTGTCGCCAGCAACCCTGCCACACTCGGCTGTTTTTCCCGTCAGTCACGCAGCAGCCACGCTTCATCGTACACAAATAATAATTTTAATTAATTGCATACTAAAACATCTACAATTTTACAATTCTAAAAATTTACAATTTTTTCTAAATGTTTGGTTGAGGTCTTTGACTAAACAACACCTCAACCAAACATTTAGAAAAAATTGTAAATTGACGCTACTACTATTCTTAATGAATGTGTAAATAAAGATTATTTGTCTATTGTCTATTGTCACCTATTTATGGTAAAACACAGGATAACAGAAGAGCATGTGTTGTTAGCTGAATATAAACATCAAACTACTGAAATTACAACCCACTTTATATTACGTTTTATGAGCGTGAATATTCATTGTAAAATGAAAAATCATTGCGGCGTATTGCGCCGCATAGGTACCCTCCCTAGTATAATGTGGGGTATCTCTGTACAAATGAATATAAAGTTAAAACGGTCGGATTTAGCTATTACACCCATAATTGGAAACCCTTATTGTGTACATTGTCAAATAATGAAAGTAATGTGGTTATTTTCATCTAGTTAAGTGTTAGTAGTATTTACATTTAGATAAATAAGTAATGGCATTTTTTAAGATATTTTCTGGTGTTCAGTAATATTAATTTATAATGCAGTTGAGTTTTACAATTTACTTTGAAATAATATGTAGGTTTGTGATATTTTTTTAGATTGTTGTATTTTTTATAACAAATGGTTTTTTGTTTAGTTAAACTAATATAATTAAAAATTGATCCTTGACAACTGCCAAAGCCGACGATTTTTACCGCCAGTGTGGCACCCCGGGTCAATTTTTGCGCTACAAAAAACGTCGTGATGAAAAAAGTCTGCGATTATTGTCGCGTCAGTGTGGCACCTCTCAGCGACTATTTCCGTCGCGATTATCATCAGCCTAGTGTGGCATTACCCTAACTATTCTTACTCTTTTCTTCCGAATTTAGTGGTGAGTCTAAATAGATTCTTCCACAATCTATCTTTGCGTCCAATTTGAAATGTTCCAGGAAAGTGGTTGATCTTCTGGTATTCTCTGAGAGTTTTGAAACATAGAGACTTCATGTGCTTCCCCCATGTTCCACACCATTCATTTGATTCTGAAAAACAGTTTATAATGTTGTTCAAACAAACATTTATATTCAACTCTTTAGCATAACTAGTTGCTCTGCCAATGCTTCACAACGGGGTGAGAATACAGAAAAGAAACACACACCCACCATTAACTATAGAGACAAAACTTGATCGTCATTGCTTATTTATGTATTGGCAATCAGCTGTATGGCAGGCTCAAAACTAATAACTTCATAATGTAACAAAGGTAATCTATAAAAACAAAAACAATCTAATATTATTAAAAAGATCCTTTAGTTACAGTTCTTGCCAACAGCAAATGATTTATCAAAACACTAGTATTTTTAATTTTAATTTTTCTGTGAAGTTTCTCATCAAGACCTTCATCCAAGTATGCGGTTGATAGGTGTTTTCAGCTTAAGGTTTTCTCAAAAGTTTGTGGTCCTTTTTAACTTTATATATGGATTTAATGGCACAGTCTTTTATGTAAGACCGGCAATATCTATTATCATAATTTACATATGTATTTGCTAATGGGCGGTACAACAGTAAAAAATAATTTGAGTTATTTATTAAAATCCACAGCTGGAAATTCCAAACCATGTTTTCAGTTCCACAGTGAAATTCTGAAATACAGATCATTGAAAAAAACAGCTGTTCTTAAGTGCAGCTATTTATAAAAGCTATTTATATAGAGGACGTCCAGTGGTCAAAAACTCAACAAAAAATATGTAATTTTCAGACTTCTCTATTTTCACCCCACAAAGTTAATAAATTATGTGATTAGAATTTCTTTCATTTGTTTTTATTTTCTGTTTATATTTCAATGTTATTTTATCACCAGCATGGCAACCCTTAAGGCCCATGTTAATTTTTCAAATTTTAAATTCATTTTTTGTGCTTCTTTTTGAGTCTATTTTAATTTATAAAGGGATTTTACACATCTACAGGAAAATATGTTTCTAACAGTATGATTTTTCCCTGAGATGCACTTGAGCTGAGAAAAAAGGTTTTCAAGAAATAAGCTTGCCTATTAATATAGATCATACTAATCATATCATACTTAACTTACTAATATTAATAATATTATTTAAATGTGAATCTTTGTGTGTTTGTTTGATGTTCAATCACGCATTAACTACTGGTCGGGTTGGGTTGAAATTTGGTATGATGATATCTCACATTCCCGAATAACATATAGACATATCCTTATCTCAAAAATCCTTTCGGGCTGGTGGCATTCATTCAACAGAAATACTTGGTGTGTGTTTAAAAATTATGCAATGCAATACGACACAATACTAGAATATAGACAACACAAATTATTAAAAATATATCGAATGGACAGAAAGTATATACTGCAGAGCATTAAAATACGAAAATGAGCCAACTGGAATATGTTTTTCAGGTGGAAAAGTTTCTTGACCTGCATTAGAAGAGCCGATACATCTACTGAAAGAACTATAGGCTACCTAGGAGACTAGGAAGGTCTTGGCATTTTCAGTTTCAAGATTTTATGTTGTAAGATTTTCTTAGTCTGTGATTAAAAATGTTGATTTGTGTTTGCATTTAGTTTTTAATTGTAATTTAATCGCTGTAGAATTTATAATCGTAACACGATTTTTAAACTGTGCTTGAGGCAATAAATAATTAAGATATCCTTTTTTTGTCATCGTTGGCGGAGCCACTGCAGATTATTATTTGCAAAACCGTAACAGAACCGTATGTACTAGGTAAGTACATAGACCTCAATAAAAAGATAAAGTAAACAAAAATTAGGAAACTGTCAAGCTTCTAGTTGTGTCACTTGTTTTGATTTAGATTGTAATACTCTGTTTAGTTCTTAAAATGCTGTATGAGGTTTATGGTTACTATCGCAGGCGAAGCCATGGGTAAAAGCTAGTACCCTAATATAGAAACACCTACATTACTTTTCTTTTACTTTAGGATGAATTTGTGATACTCATAGAACAAAATGTTATCTATACAAGCTGTTTTCATTCTGAATTTTACCCAATTCGATGTACTGCATCATTAATTAACTTTAACTTCATTGATGTCCGCATAAAGGAGTATGAATTAATATTGTTTGAGTTTCTAGATAAAAAAAAAGATTGTAAAAATAATTTTTTTAACCAAGACAAAGGAAAGTTTTGTATATTTTTGTAATAATTTTAGGTTCTACAACATCTTTAGCTATGTACTCACTTCTAACGAGTTTAAAGTTAGAGTTGAGCACTGTTCTGCGTACAACAACAGGAGTTATAGTGCTGAGTTTCCACTTGAGCAGTTTCTGTATCGAGGGAGGAAGTGCAGCTCCTGGAACAGCCAGTGTTTAGAGGGTGATTGTAAAATGTAACATTTAATGTATCTGACAACACCAAGTATATTCAACTCGGTTTTAAATTGTAAGAGAAGTTTTGGACATAGAAAATATCCTCCTAAAATGGGTAGGAGGGGATAAGTGCGCAAATTGTGCATTTTAATATGGTTCGATTCTGAGCCAAAACTAATAATGCTATACCCTTTTACTTTTCAAAGATTACGTTAGTTATTAGGTAAATATAACTAGCCTACTAATTTATAATAAATTACATTTTTGGATTTTAGATCTACAACACAAAGAGAGATCTACCTACCTCAAACAGATTATAGCTATAAAAAAGTGGCCTTTTAAAACCTATTTTAATAAACTACGACTTTCACAAATAACTTTCATAAATAACGAGATATCAATATAGCCTAGTAAAGATTATTGCAGTTTGCACATTGGGTTACCACAATCCTCACTTTACCTTTGACATCGTGAGTCGAGAACCTGATGTATGGAGGAACATGAGAAAACAAGCTTGGCCTGAGAGCAGAGTGAATTTTTCCTGAGTCAATAACAACACATTCTCCTGCAAATATATGTTTAATTAGAACACAACAGATTAGGTTTGGTTCATGTACCTATGCCAATCCCTGAAATTGGCTAGTTTGGTCTGTGTACAAGCAAACATACTTTTTTTGGTAGGCTCTAGCCCAGGTTTGATTTTCACATTATTTCAGCCTAGACTGAGGTTGCGGCATTTATCACTTATATAAATACGTATTGTTTTTAGGAAAAAGCATTTAGCTTGGATTAAATAAATATATAATCACCTGATGAAAGGTTGCAGACGAGTCAAAGAACACATAAAACACACACATAATAATACTTGATATTTCGCCTCTTTCAGAGGCTTCTTCAGAAGTAGCCCTAGATGGCAGTTACAAGAACAACAGTTTGAAATAGGATGACACAGTTTGAATTCAAAATGTCAGACAGGTTGTCCAACTGACAGTACACAAAGCACTAAATACAGGCACATTGCAATATTGTATTTACAAATAATATGTATATTGAAAAGCAAATTAGTTTTCTCTATGAAAATAAATACTTAAGAGTTAGCTGTGAGGGTGAGGATATAAGGATATTATCTAATGTTGAGGTTAGGTGGGGTTCTGGAGTTGGTCACAAACTGGTAAGCTAATTCCCATCTTCTGAGCATTGAACTATTGCATTGGTTTTTTGGCAATGATTTTAGAGCTTTTATCGTGAAACAGTCATCAAATAGAAGTTAGTGGGATAAGGCATGTTGTGCAACTGGTTTTTCTTTGCTAGTTTTAACATCATGTCGATGGCCGTTCATGCGTTTTCGGAGAGTGTCGGTTGTTAGGCCTATGTACTGGGCTGGACAATGTGAACATTGAAACTGGTAGATAAGGTTTTCTGAGCAGCAGGTATGATGGCCTTGGATTCTGTAATTTTTATTATGGTATGTGCTGGTAAAAGTTTCTGTGGGATGGTGTATCTGGCAAGATTTACATCGGTTTTCATTGCATGGGTATGAGCCCGGTCTTGATTTCTCAGATGGTATTTTTGATGGATTTGGGAGTTTTGGGTCGACTAGCATATTCCTCAAATTTGGGGGTTGCCTATAGATTATGGAAGGGGCTCTTGAAAGGAGGTTTTTGGTTTGGCTGGAGGACTCTAGGATTTTGAAACCAGTTTTGAGGAGGTTGTTTAGTTGTTGCAGGCCAAGGTGGTAAGTGGTTATCAAATTTACTTTAAGGTGGTTGGTATTTTTCTTTGTAGTTTGACGTGGGTTCTGAGCTGCTTGGATCTGAGATTTTACGAGAGTGCCAGGATAAATACGTATTGGTGTTTGGTGGGATTTTAACCCACGTCCTAAGGGACCGAAGTCCTAGGCTCTACTAAAAGACCAAACAAAAGTTGGTAACCACAGAAGGTAGTTGTGATTGAAAATATTACCCAATCAAGCATATTACTTATATTTATGATTTATACAAAATCCGTTTCATCAACCACACAAGACAACAATTTACACACAAAACGTGAATCTACAAACATAAAAAGGGTTAAAACAATTTATCAATACTTTAAAATGTATGGTGATTTATGGCCTGGAATGTATGTTTAAACCTAAAAAAGTTAACATTTTTTGCCTTGAATCAATTTTATTTCTCTGCTTACCAATACATTATGCAAAATAACTTGAACCATAGCTTTATTTACAGCCAGAGTATGGTATAACATTATTCACAGGGTCACCAACACTAGCAGACCCACTTATCTGAAAGATAAGTTAAAATCTAGGAGAGATGTGAGAGAGAGGAGTACAAGACAGGATAGCCTGCTGCATTTGCCTCGCGTCCAGTTAGAATATGGTAAAAGGGATTTTCTTTTTTTGCTCCTCAGAAATACAACCAACTGCCAGAAAATGTAAAAAAACTTAGTCATAAAGCTTTTCGACTGAAAACCAAAATTTTTTTTGTAAATATAAGTTACCGGTAAGGTATTGTTAGTTAATAAGTCAATTATTGTGATTGTAATATTTCTTTTGTATTGACTTGAGTAGTTTTGAAAAACAGTATTGTTTCTGAAAACCGCTAGAAAATAAAAGACGTTTTTTATTATTATTATTATTATTACAAATAAAACTAGGCATGACAAATAAATAATTATGTGTTATACACCCTCATACTCTTTTGAGAAGAAGAAACCTTAGCCTTAGATAATCACAAGACCTCAATTATTTTCTTAACATTTTATGTTTCTAATCACCCTACTTTTGTTATGAATAAAATTTTAATTTGATTCTTTACTCAATAACAAAAGAAGGAAGGCAAAATTTTAGGGTTTGCGTTATATGCCTATCAAACTTTCAAACACTTACCTTGATCATTTATTGAGATCGAGTCAACTAGACGAGACGGCGAGTTGGAATTGGAGAACGAGTTCTTCAGGCCCGGCGTTGAAACATCTACATTCACGGTAACAAAAGGTCATTGTAACAAACTACATAATATACAAATAGTTTCATACACTATGGTTGGTGAATAGAATATGATTAAAAGGAAATTAAATGTTGAATCATAACTATTTTAAATTTTGATTCAAAACTGGATAAATTTCTCAACTTAATTTTAAAAATAACTGCTGTCATTTTACAACATTTTGCTAATTAGAGTATAACTTAAAAGCCTAACATTGAAAGGTTTGCAAATTACTATTCAATTGAAGAAACATGGTTTGATTCTTGAATAATATTTGTCAAATGATTGAATAAAATCTTGGTTCCCTCAATATAGTTTGATATTATCATTGACAGATGACATATCATCAAGTTTAAGAAAAACCAAATTACAGTGCATAACTCTGTAGTGAAAATTGTGTAAATTACCTTCCTCTAAATCAACTTCATTGTTGTCTCTTATATCTTCTTCTTCACAACCACTGAAATTCAGATTAAATATGTAAAATTTGGAAACATTTTAAATGCAAAACACTTACAACCTACTTTTAAGTTATATTTTAAAGGAAAGCCAATCGGCTAATAAGGAACTAATTGAAAATGAATATAGAGTTCAGTTAGCTTACGTGAAAGAATTAAGAGTTTTCAGGGGCTAATAGATAGGATAAAAGGACACAAAAGATAACACTGATATTTCGTTTTGATGGAGGACTTCTTCAGAGGGCAAATTAAAGAGAAAACCTTTTTTTTATAGGTACCATAGGGAGTTGAGTAGGGATAGTACTCCCAAACAATTAGAAGGCAGCTAGTTTGATCCTGTGACAAGTTAGTAACTTTTTTTATGCATAATAAGTTTGAAACTGGACCCAGCTGTCCCTGATCATATTGTAGGCCTAATAAATACCCAGTGAATATCAAATCTAAGGAAGGCATCTCACATTCAACCTCCAGTAAGGCCTATATTTTAATAATTAATTTTTAATTTTTTTTTTTTTTTTTTAAGTACACCCTCATAGGGGTCTCATTTTAGGGCAATACTGGTGCAAAGGGATATACCTGATGTAAGAGCATTTACCTGTCGTTATATTCAGAATCAGAAGAATAAGAAGTAACAGATTCACTACTGAGGACGGACTTCTCTCGAGGCAGGAGGGGCCCCTTACTTGTAGTAGCTGATGGCAGCAACTAAAAAGAGAACATTATTTTTACCTGAATTCAAATTTAGCATATTTTTATGGAACAATTAATTATAGTATTAGAGCTCCCTAAGATTTAAAGGATTAAGTAATCATCACTAAAAAGCATCCACAGAATGTTTTTTTTTTTCGACACAGCTAATTGGTGGTAGTGCATGCTTACTGACAATGAATGTCCTTTAATACATAAAACCAGGAATACTTGTGAATTTAAATATACAAACAAAATATTTGATTAAATAACTTGGAAATAAATTATTAAGTTGGTCCAGACAGATAGTAGGCCTACGGGAGTGGGAGTAAGTTTTCATCTAATATTCGTACAATGCTGAATGCACTTACCTTTCGGACAGCTGATGATGATGTATGAATAGATGGAGAAACATCTCTTGGTCGCTTTGTTCCTACTTCAACTAGATTGTTACTGTAATCGGTTTCATTTACATGCTTCACTCTCTTGTTATCGATTGGAGTTTCCCTCAATTTGTGTAGTTTGTTCCTCAGCATTTCTACTTCGTAGTAATATCGTTCGTGTAAAGGCATGACTTCACTCTCACTTCGAGGGAAGTCCCACTCATTATGGGAACGATTCCAAGTGTCAAATATTGGACAGTTGGGCTCAAAGTGGTTTTCACAAGGTTTACACACACGTTTTGAAACAGTTTTTACTTTGCCGTCAAATTTACTGTGGTAACTACACTCGGATGTTTTATTAAAATACGGGTCAAATTGTTCTTTTTTAGCTGAGACTGAATACTCGCAGTTGTCTGTTCTTTCGTCACTCAGAAGTTTTCTGGAAAGCTGTCTTCGTTTCACAAAACTGATCCCTGATTGGTAGTGATACGTTTCGCTATTTGTGGCTTTGTTGTAGTAATCTTTACTTCTATCCATTTCCATTCCCTCGCTCTTGCTTCTCCTTCGGCTTCCCTGATAGATTTTTTTACTCTTCTCTTGTTCTTTGCAAACTGGGCACCAAGTAGCGTAAGCAAATCTACACTGACTGAGCCCGTCACATTGTAGAGGCCTGGCTGTGCTACTTTTTGAGAAACTATCCTTTGATGGAGTATCAAGTCTAGGATGTAAAAGGTTAGAAATCCCATTCCTATGTAATTTTGGAGGTGATATACAAGGTGTTGCCATTTTTCCAACACTTATTCAATTTTGCATCCTTAGTTTTATTTGTGATACATTCTTGGTAGCCTACTTAACCTGAAAAAGATGAGAATATCTTTATTAGGCCTATTTTATTTAAAAATTAAATTAAAATGTGCTTAGGCCTAAGCTATTCATGAGCCTAATAATTTTTTCAAGTAGCCTAAGTTAATGTAACTTAAGTTATGTACTTTTAAGTTAAATAGTTTATTTAGGAAATATCCAGACCAGAAGCCTAAAATGTAAAGGATGGTTCTAATGTAACCCTAGGTTTGTTAGGCTATGGAAATAGCTTAATTCAATGACAAAGTTCTGGAGAGAACCTGCGACCCTATCAGATTCATATAGAATAAATATAACTTAGTGATTATGATTTGGTTCAATATAAATAGGCCTATTGCATTGAATTTAGTTTTTAGCCTACCATATGACATAAACAAATACAGTAAAACCTCTTTAATCCGACCCCCTGGAATCCGAACGTCCACTAATCCGAACGCCTCATTGCTGTACTCTATACATAGTACAGTAGTTCTTTATTGTATACTGTATTTATTGATATACGCACCGTAACTATTTCAATTGTAATGTACAGTACTGTTTATTCCAGATGTTTACTACTGTATTAAATAAACACTGTACCGGTATTTTACTTTATAAAGCATTTTTCACTTTTCCCTAGCTATTGTTATGTAAAAACAACAATATGTTCTGTAATCCGAACTATTCAATCAAACTACCCCCGGTCACAATTAGTTCGGATTAAAGAGGTTCTACTGTAGCCTACAATAACAAAAACATTTTAAAGGCCTATTTCAAGTATTTATTACTTTACACCTTAGTTTTATTAGCAAATTTCCCTATAGGGAAGTAGCTATTACCGTAGGTCTCATGGTAAGACATAGGCCCGGGACCGATTTACTTTTTCATTTTGATGTCCCCAGAGGCTAAAAATACCATTCGTTCAAATTTTTGTATATATACTAGCAGAGCACCCGTCCATCGTACGGGGTTGGCATATTTAAGTATAAAATGCCAATTGCAGTTATACTCAAGTTTTGCGTTTGCAATGGGGGGAGGACACAGTTTGATAACATTTGGTTCATAAATTTACGGTATGATGTAGTATAACACATCTACCATTGCCATAATGTTCTACCACTGCAACTAAAACAATAGAAAAAAAATTAATTCTTAAACATTTGCACAATATCGCAAATTATTCATTAAATTAAAAACTCAAACCTAACTGTAAACAATCCTACTTTGACAGTTCTCATTGTGTATCACAGCTTTTTGTTGCTGCTTAGTTCAAATTAGCTGATGTCATGTATGCAAAAACAAAATAATGATAGTGCTGCACCCTGTTGGGAAACCTTATAACTTTTTAATGCTATTGCATATTATAGAACCAACTTGTAAAGTTGACACAGCTGACTATAGTTCGGCCGCTTAGAAAACGACCTGCGCGCTAATGATAAACCAATGCTGGAGGAGGTCGCTTTCTAAGCGGCCGAACTATAAATTCTTTAATTCCCTTTAAAAATGAATACTCATAAGGTTAACATGGGGAACTACAGAGCCACTGGGGCAGAGCCCGAAAGGATTTTTGAGATAAGAATATGCCTAGAAATGTTAATCGGGAATGTGAGCTATCATCATACCAAATTTCAGGCCAATCCGTTCAGCAGTTTGTGCGTGATTGAGCAACACACAAACTCACAAACTTTCAGATTTATAATATTAGTAAGATAATATATATATGTCCATCCGCACGATAACTTGAGTAACTTTTGTCCGATTTTGATAAAATTTGGTTTGAAGGTGTAAGGCGGGATAAACTTGAATGAGTTCGCGAACCAGCATGATCGGACCATGGTTTTACGGGGGGTTTTATGGGGTAAAAATGGGTTTTTCTCATTTTTTACCCTTAAAACACAATATTTATCAATTTTTCTCCAGACCTGTTTAAAGAGCTTAAAAAAACAAATAATTTAAATTTAGTATGTGAAAGTGTTTTAGTACGGTGATTGGTTATGGAGAAAATTCAAAAAATTGTTAATTTAAAATTTCCATGTTATTCTTATGGAGAATATTATAATATCAAATCAAATCAAAATCAAATCATTTATTTAGCCAAAGTTTTAACAAAACAAGTTACATTAGCTAAGTCACATTATTTTTATAAGATGCCTTACATAGATCTACACTACCATATATACAGGTATTTACAAAATGGCTTACATTATACTACAAATTGCATCAAAGACTTATACAGCTTTAGTGAACAGCTTGTTGAACTAAAGAAGCATTCATTCATATCCCGTCAGCAATCCAAGTACTACAAAGATTTGAAAGAAAACATTCAAGAGGATGAAGCAGTTGTAAGTTTGGACGTTTCAGAAAACTACTCTTTTGTGGTCCAAGACGAGGCACAGTCTTTCTACTGGAATAATAACCTAGCTACTGTGTATCCATTTTCTGTTTATTACAATGAGAAAGGAGAAATTAAGTATACAAGCTTTGTAATAATATAAGAATGCTTGATTCACGACTCGGTAGCAGTCCATTTATTTCAATTGATAGGCTATCTTATTTAAAAAGTGAAGTTACCAAATTTTAGACAATTTAGGCTTACTGTACTTGTATTGTACAACTGGTTAGGCCTATAGACTGTTAGCTTTTTATTGTATGTTAAGTTACTTAGACGTTTTTGTAGCTAATGAATGTAACTATTAGCCCTGTAGCCTACGACTTGTCTATTTACATTGAAGGCTTATACAAACAAATTATTTTAATATGGATCCCATTGAGATCCCAACTTGAATTTTTGGGCATAAATTATTAATAACATTTAAGGACCCATGGTATTTTTATCCAACTGAGAAAATTAAAAGAAAAAGTGGCTACTTAGGCTACCAAGATTAAAGTAGGCTAGACTTTATCTAAACCGTTAAGTTTGTTAAGTTGGAATGACACTATCAATCCGTAACCATGGTCAAAGATAAAGAAGACAAGTATCAAGTAAGTATAAAGTAAGTGTGGTTAACTATAAGCTTAATTGGCAAAAGAAGGTCTGTGGTTAAGGATCTCTTCCTGTTTCGTCCTTGATTTCTCAAATTTGTGTAAGTTAACTTAGCATTAAAGTCTAAAACAACTGTGACTTAGGCTACAATTCAACACAAAAGCCTACTTTGATCATCAAGTTGACTAAATCATTAGTAATCCTACATAATACGATAATGCCCTGGTCAATTAAATCCAACATTAAGTCAAAAAGACAGAATACTGTTCTCGTCTTCCTCCCTCAGCTCCTCCTACCATCATATCCCACAACTTGGGAATCGGAATAAAGCAGGAATTATTATTGATTAAATTACCATGTTCAATAAAGAAATAATAAATTACTTACATCAGTATTTTACAAGTTATATGGACTACAAGCAGTATATCTCTGCATAATCATTGAATCAAGGACTAAACACAATGATCACGATGAAAAATTTATGATTCGATAACAAATCAAAATGTCAACACGCGGTGAGTTTAGAGAGATGGCTTGGCTTGGCTGGCTGGCTAGTGGCTACTGGCTAGTGGCTAGTGGCTAGGCTCAATCTCAACCTCAAGGCACTCCCAGCAGAAGGCAGAGAAGGCAACATCTGAACGAAAACGAAACGAACGAACAATCATAATCTGACAGCCAGGGTCTGACTTAGGGGAGGTACGAATGAGGCATTTAGTTCAAAATTCCTCCGTGAACAGCGCTGTAGTAGAGATAACTTTGGCAATGAAGGTTTACTAATCGCAAAAATAGTTCTGTTATAATCTGACAGCCAGGGTCTGACTTAGGGGAGGTACGAATGAGGCATTTAGTTCAAAATTCCTCCGTGAACAGCGCTGTAGTAGAGATAACTTTGGCAATGAAGGTTTACTAATCGCAAAAATAGTTCTGTTAAATAAAATAAAATTATAAATGTCTCAAATTCAATTTTATTATTTTTTAATTATAAAATTAAACTATCATAACCTAACCGAACTAACCAAACTTGCTGATAAAGAAATAATATAACAAAAGTTCAGTAATCGGAAAAATAATTCTGTTTATTAAATAAAACTAGAATTTGCTCAATTAAAATTTTATAATGACTTAATAATAAAATTAAACTGTAATAACCGAACCAAACCAACCAAACTTGCTGATAATAAAAAAATCTTGGACAAAAAGTTAATGTTACCAGCGGGATTCGAACCCGGGACCTACAGTATATCAGCCCGGCACGCTAACCAATAGATCACCGATGCCGATGGCTACTGATCGTTTTGTTACGGTAATGGCGTTCCCTCAGCTAATAAGAAGCCCACAGCTGTCATCGTAGCCTCTTCTATACCTCCCCTGAGTAAATACCTGACAGCCATCGGCTAGGCGAGCGGCGAGCCTTTCAACTTTAAATAAAGACAGGAAAATAATCGTTATTCGTAGCACTTGTAACAGCTGCAGCTGTTTCAGAAAATCATACTAGTATCTTCACTGCAACTGTCGCAACAATCTACTTGAAACTGGAACGGTTCTCCCGTAGCGCTAAACTCCAAACCATTTACTTTTACGTCATTTTAACCCAATATTAACGACTACATAGCAAAATAAAAACTGAAATTAGAAAGAAACATTATTTTAGCAAAAAAGTGGCAAGAGTGGCCACACAAGAAATACATACGCATATCAAACCCGTGTTGAAATTCACTTTACTCTAGAATGGAAAGCTGTATTCAACTTCGACGTTTCATCTTTAAAGTGGAGGAATAAAATACTTTTTCCTACAGTTACCTAACAATGTACATGTTCTCTCACTGATTTGAGAAAGCTAAGTGGCCAATTCGCTCATCAGTGAGACAATGTTAACATTGTCTCACTCTAATTACTTTGTCTCACTCCAGATTTGCAACATGAAGGCACGAAATAGTGAGCGGTAACATGCAGGCAACGTCGTATGCGCGCGAAATACGTTGGCAGCACTGGATGTAAATCAGCTGGTCAGCTGTTGTACTGTTGTATTTGTCACTTCACATTAAATGTTATATTAAAAGTTCACTTCTGTGTAAAAAAAGGTTATGTTTCTTCACCAATTTATTTGTTTTATGGTAACTGTAGGAAAAGTATAATGGTTAACTCGAGTTCAAAGTACAATTGCCTCACTCGAGAAACCATTCCTCACTCGCCTACAGCTCGTGAGTAAGGATTTCTCTCGAGTGAGTCAATTGCTTACTTTTCTCACTAGTTGCACAAATAACTATTTCCACATATCTCTTCTTTGGAACGGCCCAAAAAAAGAAATATAGCTGAGTCAGTAGTTTATTTATTTTTTTCACACGGTTAAACCATTTTTATAATTATTATCAACAAATAAGATGGCCAAATTTACAATGACACTACACATTACTTATTGTAATCAAATAATAAATACAAAAACTATTAGGCAGTCATATTTTGTTGTCAGACATTAATTTAAAATACAACTATTTTTGGATCCTCCATTAGTAGTTTTTGGATCATCTGAAAGTAGTATGCCGATTATTTTGCTACACACACCACCTTCTTACGTGATTTGTTACATGTGGACTAGGCACTCCTAAAGGGCATACCAACCGCGTAAAGGGGCTCTTAAAATATAATTCATTTACATTCACGGATATTAAATTAATTGGAAAATGGTTATTAACTTGTGAATTATGAATACACTGTTTGATGCATGAAGTTTCAAGTGAATGGAAATCAATAAATTACATGATAGTTATACATTAAAAATATTGAGCTGTTGGTTTGATTTGTCAATTTCATTTATTGTTTATTCAAGTATAAACTATATTTTATAATCGACGCTTTAATGTTACACGCAGCACTACCGGAGTTTCATGCTATTTGGTGATGGCTTACTTGGCCATCTCCTAGTTTGGCTTACTTATTACTTTACCATCAAAATTTAACTCGACGTACTGTACCCACTGGCATCTCAACTTGCGCGAGGTAACTGATGACTGAGCTTACTTCTAATGTATATAAGATTCTAAAGCCGGGTTCCTATGCGCGGAGTCGGCGAGCGGAGAGAGGAACGCGGAGAGCGGACTCCACTTGTCTTAGGCAATTTAATGTTACTGTTTTCCTAGAAGCGGAGCGGAATGCCATGTTAATTTCAATTCCGCTCTCCGCGTTCCTCTCTCCGCTCGCCGACTCCGCGCCTAGGAAAACCCAGCTTAACAGCTTTCCGCTGTAACTGTTATTCATTCCTTAAAAATAATAAATTTAAATTATTGAGCGAAGCTCTTATACTACACTCCTGCTTTTGTTTTACAAATACTCCGCCTGAACGGCTGAAGCGATCTGCAGGACACACACGTCAAATCAAATCACTAGCTCTGTCCGGTTTTCTGTAGATGTCGTGTTTTGTTTACAACTTGTTTCTATTATTTTAGGGTTAGTTTCTCATTATTTGTGTCTCACTGTTTGGTTATATAGCTAGTGGGCGAGTTATTGTTTATGATTAGATAGTTTTATTTGGTTAAACGAGGTTTTAAATTACTGAAATAACAAGAAACAAATTGTAAACAAAACACGATATTTACAGAAAACCGGACAGAACTGACAATAAAATTGGCTTCAGCTGTTCCATAAGGATGGGAAATCCATGGTGGAAGTTATTTACTTCCACCATGGGGAAATCTACTAATGGACTATGTTTTATCTATGGTGAATCCACATGGTGCCGTGTTTCCCCCGGACGTGGGTGAGGCGGACAGTGGGGCCAGCGGACAAAACCGGTTCGGGTGGGTAATTGAGCGGACGTCTCCCTGCATCTACCCGGCTTGCGGGGAATATCCAAGTTACCGACAAGAGCACAATGAACTTCTTCTGCGGATGAATAGTCCGTTAATAGAAATATAAGCAGAATTAATAAATTTATTAATAAATTAATGACACAATCCAAGCACATTAAAATGGCTCTGGCCTGAACTTTTTTGTAGTATTGAGTTTGAGCATATTTTTATGTTACTATCTATGTAAGTTACATTGTGTTTTTTAGGCTGCTGTTCGGTGCACTTTGAGACATTTTTTTAGATTGGTTAAATGCTTTTCGTTTGCTGAGTAGCGCTAGTAAACATGCACTACACTTTTCGTTAGTTTAATAACATTCAAGGGCTCTATATTATGTTTTCACTAAGCTGATTGAATACATCGAAGTAACCTCTCTGAAAAGTTTCCAGTAAAATGCAATTTTCCAGATTTATGAATGTACATAAAAATTATTTAAAATGTTATCCAGTTGCTGTCGTAAACCACTATTAATTTAACAAAATATTGACACAGCTCATATGGGCAATATGCCCTTCTGCACTTGTATTATTTTGTATTGAATAATTGAAAACATGTATGAAAACAATCTCATGAACCTATGATGATCTGTTTTGAATAATATGACAAACTATAGGCAAAAGTGGCCAAAAAGGCAGACATCAACCCGTACAATAGATATAAGATAATTCAATAAGAAGTAATTTTAAGAGGTACTGTACTTTTAAGATTTTCCAATGATTTCGTAATGGAACGTCATATTGCAAAACATGACATGACGCAGGACAAAATAAATTTTAATATCAGAAAAATACATTGCAAATGACAATCATTTTTTCAAAGTCTTGAATAAGTATGGGCAAAAGCGGTCAAAAAGGCAGAAACCATAATAGCACAAATTACAATAGATAAGTTAACTCGATAAGAAATAGTTTTAAGTGTTACTGTGATACTATTTTCCACTGGGTCCCCCCCCCCCCTTTGTACTGTATTTTGTTTGCATTGATTGAAATATCTGAGTATTTCTAAAAAGATAGTGCTGTTTTGTATAACTTTAAAAAAAAATCACTATTTAATTTATCCACAGAACAATCTTACTAACGGTAGTGATTAGCATCAATATAAATTCATTAGTATTGATATTACAACACCAACAAATGTTTCACCTTTCTCTTAAAAACGTTAGTCAAGACTCTTTTCTTATGGTTTGTTATAATGTACATTCAAAAGAAATATATAATTTATTTAACATAAACATAACCCGAAATTAAACTCTACCAGCAGTATCGTCAATGATGTATAATATACAACATATTTTATAATATACGGTATATATGTTTGTATAACATACAGAGTTTCGGCTGTCCGAACATCCGAAAATATATTTCATAATATTACCTATATTATGTTACACATCACGCGTTCTATAGTCAATGGCATTACTGTATTTGCATTTTATTTAGCTTTAACCAGCTGTTCGTGCTTACTCTCTTTGAAACAGTAAATTTTCAGTTAGAGATAATCAAAAACACCATTCCTCGTTATTTATCACAGATAAAAATGTTAACCGTTATTTGTTAGGTGGTAAATATTCCATGAACAGCTAATCTATCTATCTATCTATCTATCTATATATTAATAGGCAAGCATGTTTCTTTAAAACCTTTTTTCTCAGCTCGTGTGTATCGTAGGGAAAATCTACGCATACCGTTAGAAAGCTATTTTCCTGTAGGTGTGCAGAATCCTTTTATAAATTAAAATAGGCTCAAAAATAAGCACAAAAAATGAATTTGAAATTTTAAAAAATTAACATGGGTCTTATGGGTTGCTATGGTGATGACGAAATAACAACAAAATATAAACAGAAAATCAAAACAAATGGAAGACATTCCAATCACATGTTTTATTTACAGTGTGGGGTGAAAATAGAGAATTTTGCACAAAACATACTTTTGGTCGATTTTTCGACCACGGGGCGTGCTCTCGTCTATATATTAATAGGCAAGCATGTTTCTTTAAAACCTTTTTTCTCAGCTTGTGTGCATCGTGGGGTAAATCTGCGCATACCGTTAGAAAGCAATTTTCCTGTAGGTGTGCAGAATCCCTTTATAAATTTAAATAGGCTCAAAGATAAGCACAAAAAATGAGTTTGAAAATTTGAAAAAATTAACATGGATTTTATGCGTTGCCATGCTGGTGACGAAATAACAACGAAATATAAACAGAAAATCAAAACAAATGGAAGAAACTCCAATCACATGTTTTATTTACAGTGTGGGGTGAAAACAGAGAAGTGAGTACATTACATATTTTTGGTCGAGTTTCGACCACTGGACGACCTCTCGTCTATATTAATAGGCAAGCATGTTTCTTTAAAACCTTTTTTCTCAGCTCGTGTGCATCGTGGGGTAAATCTACGCATACCGTTAGACAGCTATTTTCCTGTAGTGTGCAGAATCCCTTTATAAATTTAAATAGGCTCAAAGATAAGCACAAAAAATTAGTTTAAAAATTTGAAAAAATTAACATGGATCTTATGCGTTGCCATGCTGGTGACGAAATAACAACGAAATATAAACAGAAAATCAAAACAAATGGATGAAACTCCAATCACATGTTTTATTTACAGTGTGGGGTGAAAATAGAGAAGTGAGTAAGTTTACATTACATATTTTTGGTCGAGTTTCGACCACTGGACGACCTCTCGTATTATTTAATTTATAGATCACTTGACTTGATTATGGTAAAACCATAGGGTTTATGGGGGTTTTATGGGGCAAAAATAGGTTTTTCCCATTTTGGGCCCTAAAAACACAAAATTTTACAATTTATTTCCAAACCATTTTGTAGAGCATAAAAAACAAATAATTTAGTATAATGAAGCGTTATTGTGCGCCTAATGGTTACAGAGAAAATTCCAAAAAATTGTAAATTTAAAATCCCTATGTTATTCTTATGGAGAATAAGTCAACTGTTGTAGTTTACTTGTTTATGAACATATTTTGATCGAATTTGGAAAATACATTAATTTCTTACTAAACTATTAACATAAAAAAACACCTTTTTACCCTCCCTGTTGCAGCAAACCTAAGTACTCGTTAAACTAATTTTATTTAAATAAGGAATAAATATGATATTTTTAAGGACGCATTTTTAATGTGAAATCCTATCAGGCTAATGGAAATTCGCTTAGTCTGCAGGTTTGCTGCGGCGGGGGTATTATATAGTGTACAGTATCGCAGAATCGGCTGGCAAATAAATGAGTAATCCTAATGTAATATTGCTTGCTGGCTTAATGATAAATGACGATCAGTTGTATTGTAGTTAACAAAAATCAGCAGTAAATGGTTACCAATGCTAATCTTATGGAGATTATTTTACGTTATATCATTGACTATTGGATACTAAAGGTTATATCCTGTTTTGTGTAAAAGTTTGGGAATCTCACTATTTTTCCCGCCGTCACGGGATCGAGATCATTAGTTTGAGCCCTCTCCCGTCATTCTACGACTTCCCAGTCGCCCACGATTTTGACGCAGAGAATCGGATTACGTAATTAATATACAGTATAGAGATGTGTCATAATTAAAAGAATCCGGTACCGCAGTAAAGCAGTATACAAAATACAGGCTGAGAATCATGAAACAGTCTTTTTCCATCCGTGGGTCAGGACTAAAAGTGAAGTTTAAAATTTGATTGTAAAATAGACACTTAAGTAACCATTATCAATATCAAGTACCTAATTGTTATGGAACATGCTCAGCATTCATGGTTCATTGTTCATAAGCATGTGCAATCTTTGATATAATACGAAAATTTGAAGGCTTTACTTTCAATATTTGTTATTTTATTGTTAAATTTAAAAGTAATTACTGAAACAAATATTTATAATTTAAGTATAGATTCCGTTGCAAATTGCAACGTGCTTGCAATTATACAGGTCGTATAATAATAATGTATCATTTTTGAAATCCGAATGGAATTAATAATAAAAATAAAAGTATTTTCTCCCACTGCTAGCTACGGGCCGCCAGTTCTGGTAGCGATAATTATAAATCCCTGTGTTGTGAGGGGAACGCCACCGAGCGTCCTTACTCGATAATGGGGGCGAAAGGTGCCGAATTACCCACCAGGCCTTGGCGCGGGGATTGCTGAAGCGTCTGTCCGCGTGAACCACAATTTTGAGGGTGTCCACGTCACCTACGTCCGGGCTAACGGAGCCAATCCACATATCTTTGTGTTGAAACTACACCACTTGACAGTTGTGAAAATTCTGACTACTATACATCAAACCCAACAGTAACACTTCATAGCCTCCTCTAGAGGATGCTATGCACATTTGCATGCTTTATAAACTTATTAATTTGTCTTCATTCATTTTTGCCGTAGTCTTATTAGTCCTCAAATATTTTTTTTCTTTTTACTCAATAAATAAATAACACCATGATTCATGTTCATTATATACATCATCTTATTCCTTTATGTTTGGCTAACCTGTCGTGGCGGCTGTATCCTCCGGCCTCCCCTAAAAAAATGGTATACTTCATACCATACTACTTGTTCTTATTTTACCCAAACTTCCGTTCCTTTCAACCTCTTTGCTTCATCCGTCATGGCAGATACGTAAGTCGATCTTTAAAATAATTAATCTCTTGGGATCCTTGCTATGAAAGAACTATTAACTTTTATTTATAGACCAAAACAATTACCTTAATTTCCATTCCCATATTTTCTAAGCCACCCTCTTTCAGAGTATAAGTAAACATTCACTTTTTAGCTACACTTCACATAACCTATACGACTTCTTGTATAGGTGCCATAGGCATGTTAAAACTTCTTGTTTTGATTTTGGTAATGGTTGAGAGTTGAAGAAATAAATACTAAGAACAACTATTGTATTAGATCTTCGTTTTAGCTTTAGGGAATACTTCATAGGCCTACGGTTTTAGAATCTGTTAGATACAGCAAAAGGCCTCAATTCAACTTAAGAAGGCTTTCTTGTAACTTAGCCTAATAACCCTCCTGGTGTCCGTCATTTTTTGTGTGGCTTAGGTCGATTTTCGGTCAATTTGCAGCGATGTTTAGACAAAGTTACTTTGCTAAATAACTAGGCCTAGCCTATAGCCTAGGCCTACCTTCTTAAGCCCATATTAATTTTGGTGCAGTAAAGCTAAATAGGCCTAGGCTAGCCTATTATTCACATCCTACTTCAGTAAGTTGAATATTTAATTAGGTTTTTATAGCCTACCCATTTTAAGATTCAAAAGGTTAGGCCTATCTAGCCTACTGGTACTTTCCTGTCAATGGGAACATTCATTATTAACTTATTGATGATTTTTTCTCGATAAGTCAAGCTACCTATCGATATTAACGAATTGAAACATAGGCCTATCAGCTGACAACTACGATAAATATTGTTTAGTAGTATATGCGGGTACAGTTTCTTAACTGGGCTACATTATGCTAATATCGATTGAAACTATAAAATTGAAAATATTGATTAGGCTAATAATCAACTTTTTTAAATAAGCGTATATATATTATAAAATTATCTATCATAACTTAACCTAATAACCAACCAAACTTGCTGATGGTGAAAAAATCGCATGAAGGTTTACTAATCCAATCGATAGTTTCAATCGATATTAGCATAGCCCAGTTAAGAAACTGTACCCGTAAGATATATGCTTACTAAACAAGACTTATTATACATGCTCATCAACAAACAATAGGCTAATTAAAAAAAAATACTTATTGAAACTAGCTGTTACCCACGGGCTTCACCCCGTTTTACTACATTAGTATTTAATAAAACTATTGATTGGTTAAGTTAAGATGAAATAAACAAAACAGAATACCAAAAAATAATAACAGCTGAGGTATTTTTAGGTAAATGAAAAGTTCCCCTTGGAAAGCATTTACGACCTTAGCCTATAGGACAATTTATGAAATAACAGATAAGTTTGCGCAAGGTTTCTCGTCATCATGATGAACATTTTAAGTATATGGTTTATGGGTTGTGACTTGTAGATTTTCTCAAAAGTTCATGGGTACTTTTGGCCTTATATATAGATGAAACTGTTCTAACTAAGATAACCTAATATAAACAACCAAACTTGCTGTAACTTACCATTTAAAAATTCGGTTTGATAACAGAAAAGGCAAGTTAAACAGAATTTTTTAATGTTACAGCAAGTTTGGTTTCTTAATCCATCCGTAATAGACTAGGCCTATATTTTAGTGTAAACCAGATCAGTTGTCTATTTGTAATGGATCGTAAAGGAAAACATAAATATCTATATAACGAAAAAATCATCCATAGTAGGCCTACCGTGATGAATGTTCCCTTTAACAGAAAAGTACCTTGAAAAGTAAGTTACTTAGGCCTAGGAATACAAAATAAAAAACCAAATTAAAAATGTAAAATGTTGGTGCCCTTATTTTTATGAATAAATGTAGGGGTAACTTAACCCTTTGCCCTCGAATGGCCAGCAGTGCTTGCCTCAGCTGTTTCTGAGTCAGCTTGCCATAGTTTACGCAGCGCCGGGCCTCTCAGGTCGTTCGACCAGCACTACTGGCCATTGTAGTTTCTCTGTTAGGTTGGTCACCATTCTGCCAACCCAGCTACACCAGCTTGTATCAAGTATTTTGTTTCGGTCAATTATGGTAAGGGCTAAGGTTTTACACATTAAAACTAAAAATAAATTCAAATAAGTCTAATATTTTTATATTTTATTGAAAGCTAATGAAATAAGAAATAAAACTAAAATCAAAAGTTTAGGCCTAGGCCTACTGCTTAGGTTCATACATAAAAAATTTAATTTTAAAAATTGTCAAAAGAACTACGGTACCTACCTACTGTTAGGTACCATGGAAACTATGTACGATTTACCTTCCCCAATGAAACTAGGCCTTGAACTAGTTAATTTCTTATATCAACAGATAAATCCAAAAACCTTTTCTAGTCATCCTACAGTTACAAAATTAATAATATTTTATCCTGGTAAATGTAACCTCACATCACAGTTTCACATGACAACAACACGCTAACAGTTGTGGTTATTTTACAGTGAAAATGGCGTAATACAGAGCTGGAAACCTTACAAACTAAAATTTTAATATTCTGTGAGACGAGGTACTATCTCTGTTTAGTGCTGCAGCCTACGGGAGAATTAATAAACAATGATAAAAAAAGTGTGTTGGATGGCCACCTATACTGGCCAGACGAGCTGACGGGGAAAATTAGTAGTGGCCAGCAGTGCTGGCTGTACGACCTGTGAGGCAATGCACCGTGTAAACATGACAAGCTGATAGGCCTATAGAACGTAGCCGTGTCCAGCAGGGCTGGCCATTCGAGTTGGGAGGCACTTTTCTAAAATGGCTATGAGATCGCAAAGGGGTTAATGAAAGATCTCAAACATTTAAGTTAGGCTAACTTAGCCTATTTCTAGCCTATTTCTAAATATTGCAGACCTAACTTAGGTCCTTTCATAAAAGAATATTTGAACTTTAAGTAAGTAGCCAATGGTTAAGTTAAATTGTAGGATTAAGTTAGCTATAAGTCATATGATAGAGAAATAACTTAGACCCTGTCGCCAAATCATTCACTAGGCTTATTAAGTTACCTAGACATAAACTCAGGCCTAACCTTCAAAAAATTACTGCAATAGGCCTACATCAAGCCAATGAATTAACCTATTAAGTCATTATTGATTATTTTTACATCTAAATAGGCCTAACTTACGTAGTCTAAATAGATAAAAATCAATTTTCAATAAAGAAAATATTAGTTAACTGAAGAAACAAATAACTTGTTAACAACTACAAAAAACAACACGTCAACCAAAACATTAGTCCTAACTTGTTCTCAAAACATCTGTATTCTGACAACAGACGAACAAAAGTAAGATTATAGAATCAGCCACCAGGAGACAGCCTATTTTCTGCTGTTTACAGTGATTAAGTGCCAGTCCAATAGCCCATCTCTTTAAGTAGTTATTGTAGCCTATGTTGAAGTTACCTAACAATTTCTCATAAGTTAGTCATGTTCTTGTTAATGATTTCCCAACTGAATGTAACTTAAATAAACTTATTGGCTAAAAACAAATGAGCAGCACTGCTGTGGCTGGTAAGACTGTGATATCAGACTCTTGTCCTATTCACAGGGTGACCACAGACCAGCAATTTGTTGAAAACTGGGAATGAGTATGGTGAATTTGTTGTAGAGATTGAGAACTAACTCCAAGGCCTATGCAGGAATTTTAAAACTTCACCCAAGACACCTGATTTTAGTCTTAGCCTACTTACTTGTACAGTCACATCAAAACTAAGGATATCATCTGAGGTTATGTCCATAAGTGTGAAGCTATGGACCTAGGCCTAAGTTATGCGTTCACGGCGACATTGTCGTTTTAAAATAATCAATTTGATTGCTTATACCTATTCATATTATACTCTGTGGAAGATAGCAGAAATATGCGCTCAGATCAACTCAACCCAAGCTTGGCTCGGTACTTATTTTCATCCTCTACCTACCGATCCCTCAGGCAAACTGTATGCCTGACCCAACCTATTACTACATTCTTTATTGAGTAATTACATTATTCTTGTCATGGGTCTTCAGGTTTGATAGGTTATGTAGGAATTAATTTGGTAGGTAGAGCCGAACCCCTTTTCTATAATTGAAGCTATTTTATAAGCAGGCTACTTAAGTTTAGTTTCTAATTTGATACCTAACTTTACAGAAAGAAGAAGGAACCTGCTGCCGCTCCAAAACCAGCCGACCCTGCCAAGAAAGCTGCAGGTGCTGGTAAAAAGAAAAGCCTGAGCAAAAAACTTCCAGCAGTACCTGAGTCTGTGCTCAAGAGACGAAAGAAGAGAGATGCGAAGCGAGCAGCTAAACTCAAAGTCTCACTCAAGGTGAATATTAAATATTTTGACCCAAAAGTAAATGTTTGTTTCATTTTAATAAATTTCTATTTTGACATTCAACTCTTGTCTCCTATTACTAGGGATGGACGGGTCCCGAAATTTCGGGAATTTTTCGGGAAAAAAATCTTCCCGATTATCGGGACGGGATTGCATTTGATTCGGGAATTTTTCGGGACGGGATTTGGTCCGATTGCCGGCGATTTTGCCGCTTCGCGAGTGCCGATGACGCCGCTATTGCGAGCGATAGGTCCGCGAACGCAGGAGACGAAGTCGTTTCGACGATTGCGCCGTGACCGCGGAGTCATACCGACGATCACGCCGTGACCGCGGAGACATACCGACGATCGCGCCGTGACCGCGGAGTCATACCGACGATCGCGCCGTGACCGCGGAGTCATACCGACGATCGCGCCGTGACCGTGAGTCATACCGACGATCGCGCCGTGACCGCGGAGTCATACCGACAATCACGCCGTGACCGCAGAGACATACCGACGATCGCGCCGTGACCGTGAGTCATACCGACGATCGCGCCGTGACCGCGGAGTCATACCGACGATCACGCCGTGACCGCAGAGACATACCGACGATCGTGCCGTGACCACGGAGTCATACCGACGATCACGCCGTGACCACGGAGTCATACCGACGATCACGCCGTGACCGCGGAGACATACCGACGATCGCGCCGTGACCGTGAGTCATACCGACGATCGCGCCGTGACCGCGGAGTCATACCGACGATCACGCCGGGACCGCGGAGACATACCGACGATCGCGCCGTGACCGTGAGTCATTCCGACGATCGCGGCGTGACCGCGGAGACATACCAACGATCGCGCCGTGACCGTGAGTCGTACCGACGATCGCGCCGTGACCGCGGAGTCATACCGACGATCACCCCGTGACCGCGGAGTCATACCGACGATCGCGCCGTGACCGTGAGTCATACTGACGATCGCGCCGTGACCGTGAGTCATACCGACGATCGCACCGTGACCGCGAGTCCTTTCGACCGCGAGTCACAAGTTTCTACAGGTACCTGAAAGATTGTTACCCATTTTTTGATTTTTATAGATCAGTGCCACAAACGGTAAAGATTGATTTTGTGTGCCTTTTTTTGGTAACTGCAAGACTCAAGACTTTCTTTTTATGCACAGAAAAAAATCCCGTCCCGTCCCGTCCCGAAAATCGGGAAGGAAATAAAAATCCCGTCCCGTCCCGAACTAAAAATTCAATCCCGTCCATCCCTACCTATTACTAATTACTTTTCTCTCTGGTACAACTACAGTTAAGAACAAGTTGACAGATCAGGAAAATGTATTCGGTAATCGCACCGACAAAGTATTCTTAAATGTACGGGAATTGTCCATGATTTTTTTATATCCAGAATGTAGTACACCATGTAGTTATAGGCAATAGGATGGCTGACAATTTTTATAGCGTACTAGACAGCTGAAACTTCTTGATTAGTCCAACAATTACACTTTGTATTGTACAGAAAAATTTCAACTTGTTATTGGTTAGGCTAGTGACAATGGTTAATTATTTTGATCCGATATATAGCTCTACAACTAAGAGATTATACTTGATGCTTATCTCATTGTATGCTGATCAGAACAACGCTGGATTAGCTCAAGAATTGTCATGTTTTTGTCGGTTATAAATTGATCTCATCATCTGTTCTTGATTCATTGAAATTAATAAATGATTTTTGGCTCTAAAGGTCCTTTTAAATGAGGCTGTATTACATTCATCCATTCATACTTCAGTCATCTTTGCCTCAACATCCTGGTGTGGTGGTGTTACAACCACCAGTGTTTTGTACAAATAAATCTAATTTATTTCAATCGCAGTTAAACATTATTCAGGTTAAGTTTAGTCTAATTTAGTTAAACCTAATTTATTTGGGAATGCATCTATGCTAATCCACAATTCAATTTTCTATTAGCCTAAGGTATTTCTTAGTGAAATCTTGACAAACAGGGCCTATGCCCTTGTTTGCCTTTAGATACAATTAATAAGCCATTATTTTCTGTTCCAGAAACGAGCAGAACAGTTCAAGAAGAGGAAGGAGATTTTCAAGCGTGCTGAACAGTATGTGAAGGAATACCGATGCAAGGAACGTGATGAAATCAGACTTGCTCGTCAAGCTAAGCACAAGGGAAATTACTACATCCCTGGAGAAGCTAGGCTGGCTTTCGTCATTCGTATTCGGGGGTAAGTCTTGATTTAAAATATGTGTGTGATTATACAATTTTGATAACCTAGGCTCGTCCTAGAACATGTATTTGCCAATCATAGTGTATTTTGTATATCATAGTGTATTGATGGAGGAAGGGTTATGGCAACAAGGCTCAGTATACAGTCAAATATAGTACGGTAGTTACAGTATCTACTTTAAAAATTATAAATTTGACCATTGGGATTTTTGTCCACATGTCCCATTATTTAGCCTAGTTACAAAGTTTTATCGTAGATAAAAAATACTCCCTTTCAGTCCTTATAGAAAAGCTGAAGCCAATTTTATTGTTAGGCTATGTGTCTGGTGCACTGTTATATATTTTTCAAATTGAATTTACTCACAACCATATGTTATTTCAATTAATTATTATTCCTGATGTTTTTAGCGAATTTCCCATAAAGGGAATAGACCCTAAGCTATTACCGTACGTCTCATGGTAAGACCTGGACCCGGGACCGATTTACTTTTTCGTTTTGAGGTCCCCGGAGGCCAAAAACACCATCCGTTCAAATTCATATATATATATTTATATAACTTATGTGTCCTTTAGCACGATAACTCGAGCAAAAATGATCCGATTTCTATGAAATTTGGTATAAACGTGTAAACCTACATTTATTCTAACAAGCTCGCGAACCAGCATGATCAGACTATGGGAACAGAGGTTTATGGGGTAAAAATGGGGTTTTCTCATTTTTCACCCTGAAAACGTAAAATTTTGCAATTTCTTTCCAAACCATTTTGTAGAGCTAAAAAAAAAAACAAATAATTTACTAATCTATCTATACTATTATAAAAAAGAGGTGGTGTCTGTGGGTGTGTATGGGAAAAGTAAACGCGAAAACTACTGGTCGGATCGGGCTGAAATTTGGCATGATGATAGCTCACATTCCCGATTAACATATAGGCATATTTTTATCCCAAAAATCCTTTCGGGCTCCGCCCCAGTGGCTCTGGAGTTTCCCATGTTAACCTTATGAGAAATGAAATTATTGAATCTTAACAGCTGTTTCAATTAAACAAGTTGGTTCTGTTCTGTGATGTTCAATAGCATTAAAGTTACAAGGATTACCAACAGGGTGCAGCACTAGCACTATTATTTCTTTTACATTTATGACAACAGCTAATTTGCAACCAAAAGGTGAGTGAGCGTAGCGAACGAACCTCAACCTGGAGGCGAGTGAGCGTAGCGAACGAGCTAACCTGAAGGAAAGTGAGCGCAGCGAACGAGCTCCAACCTAAAGGTGAGTGAGCGTAGCGAACAAACTTCAAAAAGAACCGAAATTTCTTAAACTATGTCCTCACTCATAACTGCTATAAGCATTTGATACTTATATGCCAACCCCGTACGAAGGACGGGTACTCTGCTAGTTTAGTATATATTGAAGCATTGTTGTATGCCTAACGGTCACGGGAAAAATCCAAAATAGTGTAAATTTAAAATTACCATGTTATTCTTATGGAGAATAAACACTGTTGTTGCTTGCTTGTCTATAGACATATTGTAACCCTCCGAGTGTCCCTTGTTTTGGCCTTAATGTCTGCCTATTTTTTACTCATTTGCAAGGTTTTATTAAAACGGATCTGAGAAGCTTGAAAACAATGTTAATTATACTGTTCTATATACCATTTTGTTTGGAAAATCATGGGCTTCAATATTATACATAAAAAATAAGGAACATTTGTTTAAAAAAAAATTTTAGGTAAAAAAAAATATTTTGGAAAATTTTCAAAAAAAAAATAAGTTTGCGTTCAATGAAATTGTATAAATTATAGGCCTATAAATATTTGAAAATAGCCACTTTGTTCTAAATTTTATGAGGATTACAAATATATAATAATATAAGGAAGTAGTTTTGCAAATAAATAAGTTATGGGCAAAAAACAGATTTCAGTACATAGCGTTTAGCTAAGAATGCATAGCCTAACCATAGCTAGGAATCTGGCTGATAATTTACATCAATATCACTACCTACTTCTTCAGGATCATCAACCAGCCCTTCAAAATCTTCTTATAATGCACCACGTATATCACTACTTTTGATTTTTAACACTATAACAATGATAAACGTAATAAAACACATCAGTCATCGGTGCGAGGTTAACCAAGCTGTTTACAAATAAATACGCACGTCAGCTGTCTGCTACAATATTTTCGGAACTAAAATGAAAAGCGCTTAGAGACAGACCTCCGGAGAAAGCTCTGAATCTGCCAAATAAAACGATGCCTAACTCGATCCAGTTCAATCCGATTTTGTCAGTCATAGAGCCTTCGCCGTAAACAGTGTTTGTGAGTCGATGCATCGACACAAAACACTACACAAAGTGTGTTATGTGTCGAAGCATCGACAAATAACAATCGGAGGGTTAATGAAATTTTGAAATTTTGTTAACTTACTAAGCTAGGCTATCAATATTTCAATAAAAAAAATACCTATTTTCTTCCCTGTAGCAGCAAACCTTAAAAATCTGACAATTTCAAGGGAATGATTTAGTGGAATTCCATCAAGGTAGATGGAAATTCTCTTAGTCTGCAGGTTTGCTGCGGCGGGGGTATTTTACTATTGTGATTATGAAAACATTGTTCAAAATAAAAGACCTATTTACAACACTATGCTGAGATAATTAATCACATATTAATTAAAAATTACGATGCATGTTTTTTACGTAAGAACTGTTTTTAAATTTCTCCGTTCCAGCGCTGTGATTGGCATTTTGGACATTTGCGCTGTGTAATTTCATCTATTGGCAAGCCTGCACCGAAAATTCAGCTACTATCAGCCGTGTTTACATCCGGTTTCAAGCATTCAAAATTGTGCTGCCAATTGAGACTGCTGCTGACTGTTAAGTGTGCGCTGTAATTAGAGTGCGCTGTAATTAGATTTTTAAGTGCTAAAGGTGTGAATCATCGACAGATTAGTGAAGTGTATGGCAAGAACATTTTGAGTGACGGAATGGTATGCAAGTGGGTAAGGGCATTTAAAGACAGCCACACCAACGTTCATGATGAGCAACACACTGGGCGGCGTCATTACTAACTGTCCCCAGTACCCAGTACAATTTTGGACCAGGAACAATTTCAACTATTTCTACAAACACTTACAACGGCTCGTCAAGGTATGTTTAATTCACAAACATCGAAGAATTTAACATTGATTTCAAACTTCGACCAGTTTGACAGTACACAAAAAACCTTTTCTCAATACAAAGAGATATATTTGAAAACTACCTTAAGTTGAAAAACGTTTCAATTAACAGTCTAAGCTCTTCTGGCTACGACTTGCTGTCCACCTTATCGTTGCGAAAGAAGGTAACTTATAACACTTGATAAAGCCTTACCGTGACCGTGACAAATCATTGACCCGCTTAAAACTAGATTGTCGAACAACACAAATTCTCTTCTCGGGTACAAAATGCTGATAAGAGTCAATTTCCAGTTATGTCTTGTCTTTAAAAAAGCAAATTTATACTTTTAATGTGGCCTGTTCTACTTTTAATTGTTCTGTGTCTGACCTATTCCTCAGGACCCAATTCATAAGAGGAATTAGGGATTCTTCCTTCAGGTAGAACCTTCTTCAACAGAAGGATCTAACATTTGACTCCGCTGTAACACTTTATCAATTGAAGCTTCCAAACTGAATTCCAATGCCATAGACAAGTTTTTGCAACAGTCACAACCGTCTTACAGCAACGTAGCTGCGTCAACAAGGTGGCGGCAAATTTGAAAAGGCATCGATCATCAGACAAAAGCAGCAGTCGTTTGTCGACAGCAGTCGCATCAGCTCAATTTCTTCTGCGACACAACGAGGACATTATCGGCGCAAAAAACAAGTTGATTTAATTGAACTTGGTTTGGATGGCGTTTGTCTTCGGTGTGGCAAGAAAAGTCAGTGTGATCTCGAATCTCATCACCTCAATGCAGGCTACACAGATCTCGAGTCCACTGTAATGACTGTAACAGACACAGGGCCACATTTCGAAGCAGGGTGTCTACCAGTAGGGAATTCTGGGAAATTGGGGAAAAAGTTGGGAATTTTGAAAGGTCAGGAAAAGTCGTGAAAAAGTAATGAATTTCGACTGAAGGTCGAAAATAATCTAGCTTAAAATGGTTTACAATACCTGCATATAGTAATCCTTTGTTGCTGATTTAGGCAACTAGTTTCGGTTCTTGTTTTGAACCATCTTCAGGCCTCAAGGTGTCAAGTGATCACTTCATTCACCTTGAGGCCTGAAGATAGTTCAAAACAAGAACCGAAACTAGTTGCCTAAATCAGCAACAAAGGATTACTATATGCAGGTATTGTAAACCATTTAAAGTATAATACAGTAATCTGGAGGCTAAACAACTACAGTCCAATCTCAGTATAACGAATCTGAAGGGATCAAACTGAATATTCGTTATATCAAGGATTTCGTTAAAATGAGGTTCGTTATATAGAGGTTAGGTTTGCAGGAATTTCGCTAAGTCAAGGTTCAGAACCAGCGTCGGTCAATATAGGCCGGGATTTGACCTCAATAAAACACAATTAAAGTAGCATAGGCTACAATACTTTACAGTACAGTGTTCATTGTACAGTAGAACCTTCTGTATCCAATAGTCAATGGTAGAACCTAAATTATCCGGCCTAATAAAGGTGAGGGATCTTGAATATTGCGCAATCATGACAATGGCATTGACCTTGGTACAGGTTAAAAACTGTAAGTTTAAAATCACAGCTTGTTCTAACCCTCCTAAAACCTTGCCAAACACTACATTGCGTAGTCATAAACCATGTAAAAAACAAAACAAAACAGTAGAATGTTTTGTAAGCTACTGACGGCTCCGTGATAGGCCGATAGGCTACTTACAGTACAGTACTGATTTAGTGATTTATCACATCAGAGGAATCTCAATAATAATCATTAACTATAGCATTGGTGTTGCTAGTTGAAACAAATCGTATTGAAAACAATAAATTATTAGATAAGTCATTATAAAAGTGCATATTCATAGCCAACTTAAAGATAATAAAAACACTCGTAAATTAAGGAATGTTAAAATAACGATGTTGCTATTCTTTCTCTTTGCTTTTGTTTTTATATTCTTTCTTAGATTTCTCTTTATCCAAAAATTGTACAATTCACCATATTTACTTCTCACCCAATCACAGCTTTACTACAGATTACGTCGTCATCAGTCCTCAGGGAATGAAATCAGTTCTCAGTTGCAACATTGTGTGCGCAGCGGCAGCAGACAGAGAGATGTGTAAAACGGAGCAGACGAATGTTAGCGCAAGCGATGATGTCACCTTTCCATTTCATTTGATAAAGAAACAGATTTTCCAAAAACAATACTGGGGTGGGGGATTCGTTATATCAAGGGAAAGACGTAGAAAATTCTTTATGCAGAGGTTAAATTCGCACGGGTTCCAAAACTTACGAAAATTGTCAGGATCGTGTATTCCCGATCATTGTGACAGGATTTTCTGATTCGCTCCAATCGTCCTCGCTTTGTTGTAAATGACGATGATGACGTTTCTGCAATCTCAAATAATATCGTCAGTATTGCGGCTGACGATGATAATGTCTTCACCATTGTGAGAGGTGTTCACGACTGATTCCGCAAACCAAGGAGACAATGATGATATATCCGTGATCGCAGAGATCCTCAAGCTTGCACCATGACCGCGAGACAACTCAAAGAATGCGCCGTGAAAGCGGGATATGTTAACTAGAGGTGTGCGGATATCCGTTAACCAAACCGAGCCCAAATTTGATATCCGACACTATCCGTTAAATATCCAACATTTCCGGATAGACTGTATATAATGACATTTAAGATTGAGGTCAAAATGTTCATAAGGTTACTTATATCAACATTAATTTCCCATGACGTAATAATTTCAACACCACTCGTTCCCATCAACGTTACAGTGGTTGATGTGTCATCGTCATTGAGTCTATGACACAAAACTAAAACATTCATATCGTCGCCGTGGAAGATAACCGAATCAAGAAATAAATACAGCAATGACAATCGATATACCAACCATAGAGTACTGCATTACAATCAATCGGGAACAAGGCATTTAGTTTAATCACTATAGACACATTAGACAGTTGAAAAGAGTTCAGTCATGGATAAATATTATCAATCAAAGTATTAACGCCAAACACTAAATTTTAATCTCGTGCTTATTATATTCTTTCTTGAGTTTAACTTTAGTCTAGCCTAAGCCTAAATTATCCGTGAGCTTGAAGACGAAGCCGCATGGTGCAATACCGAAATCTCATTTAGTTGTTTATCATTCATTTGCTTTTACTTTACGATTCGATTTATCTAGAACGAACAGAGATAAAGCAGAAAAGAACTACTGAGGTCAAGTGAAAGTCAGTTTTTGTAAGTTGTCTGTTATGAGGAGCGCTACGCTACGACACCATACATACGTACTAGTCAGCTATTATTTATGTCCCACTGCAAGACACTAATACAATAATGCTACAACTGTTAAAAAGTTTGACTGCCGTGCCAGGCACTTGAATCCACTACAGTCGGGACCACGTAAGTTTGCAGTTTAGGAAGGACAAGGACCTATTTACCATATGAATTTTAATGAACCAATGAGAACCGTGCGGTGTTGCCGAATCTAATAATACCAGCTGATTTGAAAATATTGCTTAGTATATTTTAACTTGTGTTGTCAACGTGCGATGTGGCAACGTCGCACTAGCCTTGTCTTGTGATTGGCTGCCACCAACTGCAAACTTGCGTGGTCCCGACTGTAGTAATGTTTTCCTTTGCTTTCCAATGTAATTAGCATTCCAACAAAACAATTCACAACATCTGGGCCCTAATTTCGATAATGTTCGTTCCGTTTCGATCAGTGTTTCAATGTGCGGGATTTAAATCCCGAAAATGGGAATTGTAGACTTTGAGCGTGAAACTGAAATACAGTAATAATTAATTGAAATAACATATGGTTGTTTGTAAATGCAAATTGTAAAATATATAACAACAGTGAACCAGACAGAACTTGCAAATTTTACTATTGTGATTATGAAAACATTGTTCAAAATACAAGACTCATTTACAACACTATGCTGAGATAATTATTCAAATATTAATTATCAATTATTAATACAAGTATTTTAGAATTGTAGACGTCGTGTTTTGTCATTAAAAACCTCGTTTAACCAAATAATATGATGAAATCATAAACAATAACTTATCCAAAATTACATAACTAATCAGTAAAGTACAAATAATTAAATCAACCCAAAAATTATAGAAACAAATTTCGTCGGCACTTGCGATCAGTGTCACCAGACATGAACAAGATAGGCCTACTGAAAACGGAGCTTCAAAATTTACAATGGGATGAGAAGTCTACTTGTGTTGGTTAGTCCATGGTTTTATTTAGGTTCCACTAAAGGTAAAGTTGTTTAAATCAAGTTCTCTCACTGAATTTAGATTCTACATCATCTACTTAATCAAAAACACAAATTGTCTCTGAACCCTAATAAATGCAATTAACATGTTCTACATACATACAACTCTTGATTAGCATATTCATATTAAGTCTGACACGGAAAATTTCACGTTCATGTAATTCAAGTTCATGTTTGTTGTCCATCTTGTAACAAGTCGTAGGAGTTAATTCTAACTCAAAATGACCTGGGACACATCTTAGGCCCCTCTAGTCTTAAGAAACAATTGCTTAATCTCCAGTCCAACAACTTAAGTAGCATGCTAACTCCTCAGGGCTTAGCACTGATGTGGATAAGTGTATTTCATGGAAGTCAAAGTAGGAACCTGTAGGATGTTGTAGTTGTTTACCATGACACAGAAAAACAGTCAATAAGGCATATAAACAATTGCCCTTATACACATGAACTTGATTAGAGATTTTGGTCGATGGTGACAATGTCTTTTCTTTTACAATAATCACCCTTATTTCTATTGTTATTTTATTGTTTAATGCGATTGTCAATTTGATACTTGGTGCTTATTAAACAAATAAAAAATAACAGTACTGTAATTCATATTCAGATTTTAAAGCAAGTTTATAATTTCAGTGTGAACCAGGTTGCCCCCAAGGTACGAAAGGTGCTCCAGCTCTTCAGGTTAAAGCAGATTAACAATGGAGTTTTTGTTAAACTGAACAAGGTGAGTGACATTTTATTTTATTAACCATAATAAAATCTCTGTATTTCTAATGAATTCAACCTATGAACCAAACTTATGACTTGTGTAATTGTTATTGATACATTCTCAATGAATTGACAATTACCGTATAGGCTATTGGAATTAAATCACTCTGTGTCAAAAATAGCTAATTTATTTTTTATTTAAGAATAAGAATAAAGAACTTTATTCAGTCAGAAAATATGTCATGCTAATACATTGGCACGTCAATGGTATAAATGATATTCAACAGAAATCCTTAACAGTCCATTGTCTTGACATATACTCTTCTATAGAATAAAATGATCCTTTACATAAAAAATAATTTAATTAAATTTTAAAATCCTTATCACTGAGAAGTCTTATATCTAATTGTAACTTATTGTACAACTTAATAGCAATCATCATTGGTATTTTACCTGTCTTGGCTAGTCTTACTTTTTGGCAAATTAATGTTATTACAAAAACTAGTATTATAACCGTGCACATCTTTTCTACAGTCTAGTAAGTGAATACTGGCTCTAATATAAAGTAGACATTGTTGTATAAATAAAGAAAACAAAGTCAAAATTTTAAACTCCTTGAATAGATTTTTACAGCTACGACACATGCTTGAATCTTCTTCTAACTTTTTTACACCAGCAATGACTAAGAATGTTTTTTATAATAAAAACTTCATTTGCATTCGAGGGTCTATCCGTATTAAGTAATCCAAAAGGGGTTGCTTGACCATTTTTAAAATAAATACAGTAATATTTTTATCCAGATACCTATATTAGTTCCGAGTTAAAAAGTGATTATACATTTTTTTTATCTCACAGTTTACGGGCTTAAAAGAAATAAAAAAACTTGTTTTATTATTTCAGTCAACAATATTATTTTAACAGAAGTTAAATAGACTGTGAAACAATATTTTCGGGTCAGATGACATTGACCAAAGAACACTCTCAGAGTATACTAATAAAGTTCCCCGAGCAAAGCTCGGTCCCCAGGTACTGTAACATAAATCAATAAAAAGTGTTTATTTTTGTATTTTGAAAAGGAATAACTCACATCCTGTGGGAACAACATCACTTTCAAGCAATGGATAACTTTGGAAAGAACTGAACTGGAATCTATCATCAAGCCAAGAGATTAATTCTTTGAGCTACTCACTGAAAAGCTCATTGCATTGACGAAACACCACTATGTGTCAAAGATTCAAACCAAATTCTCGAAGGAAAGAAAAGAAAGTCTTATTAAAATGGAAGCTATCATTTTGGCTCAAGTCTACAATGTCCCTACTCTAATCAAATACTTACACCAGTAGAAATATTCCAATTTTGTTAACAGAATATTAAAGACGGTATAACCTTTATTGACATAACAGATAAAGAAATCACTCAACACTACAACAACAAATTCCTGGACCGATTTGAGAACTGTTAACTGATTACTGGAACAAGAACCTTTCATTGTTTTATTCGTGTACCGGACAGTAGTAATGTTAAGTGCTTCATAACCTCACTAGCAATTGAATATGAAGTTCATTCAACATCAAAAGCTGTACAAATTACACTTCATACAAAAGACTCTTATTGCATATGACGACCAGTGGTGGGTGGCAGATGTGATTGACATCAGTGACCATAATAAAGATGTGCAAGTAACATTTTTCCATACAGCAGGACCAACAACCGCCTTTAAGAAAAATGAGAAAGACCAAGCTTGGTGCCTATAAACAAAGTTTTGAGAAAATATCCCTTGGAACTGACAACAACCACTGGAAGGACATACATCACCCAGAAACTGAATGAGCACAATCGAAGTAGAACAAAAACACTAACAAGTAAAAAAAGTTGTATATAATTCTTTAAGAACTTAATCTTTCAAACAACTTTTGTATGAATAATTTTTAATATATTGTTTATTTCTCAGGCTACTATCAACATGCTGAGAATCTGTGAGCCGTACATTACTTGGGGTTACCCCAACTTGAAGAGTGTGCGAGACCTCATCTACAAGCGAGGCTTTGCTAAGATCAAGCTCCAGCGCATTCCCATCACCTCAAACAGCATCATTGAGAAGAAACTTGGTTAGTTATAACATTGTACAAAAAAAATGCAAATTGCTGTACCCTATCAGTAATAAGGTAATAGTAAGTATGGGTTGATAACCAAGTTGTTAGCGACTCGGACTTTGATGCGGGAGGGACGTGTTTGATTTCCAGCACATTCCACAAATGGGTTTGGACCTCTTTCTCTAAAAGCAATTTAAAATCAATTTGGCAAGCAACTGAATTTCAGCATTTTTAATAAGATGTGAAATAAAAATACCGTATCGCATACCGGTACCCCTAATCTTAACGTGTTTCGCTACTGATTTTCTATCATTTATATGAGCCATTATTAATTGATCAATTGAATTGTCTTGAATAATTACATTAACTACAATTTCACTTAACTGACAAATTCACTCATTCAAAAACATAACCTTTCAAAATAATAATTGTAATGGCACGCAGGAACACAATACAGTAGAAACAATTTGAACAATACATTGAGGTCTGAATGGAGCCCTATCTAAATTTGACCTGAAGATATTTTTTTTCAATTAACCTTGAAATAGCCCACCTGCATGTGCGATATTACTATAGTGTGGTGGAGGGGGGTATATACAGTTCCTCGACGAGACTAGTGTAATCACGTCAATTTATACCATGAGAAAGCACATTGGTGTTCTTCTGACGTGCAACCAACTGGGGTTATTTTAACATTAGCCTAAAATTTATTTGCAACTTGTTACAGCCAAGTCTAATGTCATCTGCGTTGAGGACCTGATCCATGAGATCTACACTGTCGGACCCAACTTCAAGTACGCCTCCAACTTCCTGTGGCCGTTCAAGGTAAGTTTGAAGTTTTGTAACTTTAATTCTTTCATACTTAACAAACTTTTCAAATGTGAATAAGTTCAATTGTACAGAGAATATTTAAAATGCCTCATTGTCTTGGATTGATGTTTCCTTTGCTGAAAACTATAGATCAAGAATTCATTTGCGACACTTAACCCCTTGCAATGCATTTGTTTTATTTGTGGCCACGCTTAAAGAACACTATATTTCAACTATAATCAGAAATGATTAAATTCACTAATAAAACAAGAGCTCAGTGAACTTGTGAATTGAGTATGACAAACATTTGGATCAAACAATCAACCTATTAACCTGATTTGATATTAACAATCTAATGGCTTAACTGTAATTTTATATCTTAATCCTGTAGCATCTTTCATGTCTAGTGCAACAAACAAGTTGCAACTAGCTTTTCTTTTATTCTCTTATTATTAGTTAGCTTCTTTCGAGGAAACTTCAAACTTGTTTTTATTTTGCAGCTGAATACCCCCACTGGTGGATGGCGTAAGAAGACCACTCACTACGTCGAAGGTGGTGACTTTGGCTGCAGGGAAGCGAAAATCAACCACCTGCTTAGGAAAATGATTTAGGGCCCTGTAATAAACCACTTTTTACGTTATCTCTGTGTACTGTGTTTTCATCCTCTGACCTTTGGAATTATTTAATGAGAATAAAGTTGCAAAATGCGGTTCAATTTTTTACTTTTATTTTTAGTTAAGTTGCTGCAGAAATAAAGTGCATCGTACAGGTCCCTTTTCACCTTGTACAGTACCATTTTCTGAACAATGCTAAAACTTATAAATGTGACACCTTGTTAGTTAAATTAACATGTAAAATCCCTAGGTATTATTTTATTGTATAATACAGACTACTAGGTCATTAGGTAAAACCAACAATCACATAAGACCAATAGATGGAGCACGCCTATCTAACTAACATTCAAGCAGCTGAAGCCAAGTTCGCCATCTTACTTTAGGTTAGAAGCGCTAGATGCCGATGGAAACGGCACCAAAACTCAATGTTCCGCTTCAAAATAACTTGACATTTAGCCTACTTAAGCCCCCCATACAGAGGCGAGCATGTTCGCGAACATGCTTTTTGTTTCCAAGAGACGGACGAGCATGCTCGGGAACATGCTTGTCGCTCGGTAGCGGTTCCTAGGCCTATTCTTGCTTCTCTTGTGCTCTGTGACAGTCAAGTTGTGCATATTTAGCCTACTCCTGCTTTTTTGCTACAATTACAGCATTTAGTTTTTTTGCAACATACGCATTATTTCTTAGACATAAATCAGGGGCGATTTATTTTTTGGCCGATCTAAAAATCGACCGTGTGTGCCAGGCCTTAAATTATCGGATTAAATTCATCCGCTATGGTTTAAAAATAATGTTGGTTAAAATTCCATCATTGTGCAATAACATTTCTCGTAGTTTTGCTTATTCTAGCCTTTCTTAAAATTATTTAATTGTGACAAATTACTACAGAATTGATTGTACACATTTGTGTAATAATATACAAATTTTAATTGATGAACCCTCTATTTTGGAAACTCATTTAAATTTGTATTTATTGCGTTACAAACACAAATAAATATTTATATAGCTTCTGTAAACATTTATTCTAAATCTATTACTGTTACTGGAATATATCAGAGTATCAACACCATGATGATAACAAGTGCAATCTGTCTATTGCGGCTACTTTGTAATGGCGGTAACGAAGTAATCGTTTGGAATCGGAACGGTTACTTGTAATGAGTCCACGAGTGTAACTGGAATCATAGTAGCGGCTACATCGATGGAATCATTTAGCCTATCTCTACCCAAGTTGCAGCGGCGAACATGCTCTCGAACATATGGTCATCCCCACAGACGGACGAGCATGTTCGTGTTCGGGCTCGCCAAGTCCGACGAGCCCAACATGCTCGCCGCGATGGATCCCACACACGGGCGAGCATGTTCGTCGCCAACACCGTCACGAACATGCTCGCCCGTGTATTAGACTTTGGGGCTTTAGACTAAAGGTAAATTGTTGAAACTTTGTATGACAGATTTCAATAAGTCTAGGACACTATTGGTTCTAATTAAAAGCTTAAGAGTTAATATTTTCTTTTTAAAATCTTCAAATAAAGTCGGTACTTTAAAATGAGTTTTAAAATATGACATGAAACATTTTTTCGGCTCTTATTTTTTAAATTTTTTGGTCAGGTAAGTTAAAAAACTGTGGATTTTGTATCTAAAAAGTTGATTTTCGGGATCATATTTTTTTTAATTTTTAGCTGGTGTAGTTTGGTTGTAATAAATTTAAATTGTACTGTATTTGTATTTAAATTTAAATTGTGTTAACTGTGCGTCATGGGGGCAGATTCTGCCTACAACCTCACTTGTAATACAGTTTAGATACTCAAATTTGGAGTTATACAGGAAAGTTACAAAACTAGTTAGGAAAACACGGAGTACATATAAATGTTCTTCGTTTTATTCTTTGTATTCGTCTAAAAATTGATATTTTTTAGCTCTTTCACAAAAATTAATATGACAAGTCAGAATCAGAATATAAAGGAGAGTTGTATAATAGTTTCAGAAACTATCTTGTGACTTTGAAAATTCGTACATTGTAAACCAAACGCCAGAATTTTATCAAACTTTAATACGATATAAATACATATATTATAAATTAATTTGTAGCTTTTCAGAATTTTTCTTTCGCCCATAAAGTTTTTGATGTCAACTAACTTTTTCTAACTTTTTTTTTAAGAAACGGTAAACGCTAGAAAAAATTTTAAAAGCGTATTTTGAAGGTCATTGTGTTAGTAATAGAAATATTTGTAATGTCATTACTACCAACTAACATTTAATTAGTTGCACACGCTACTTGGGCTCATCACAGCCGGCAGCCGCCATCTTGGTGAAGATTAGTGATAAATACTGGCTTCGTGGCCAGGTGCTCCATCTATTGGTCTTATGTGATGGTTGGGTAAAACTGAGTACTTGTGCATATTTGTTTACATTACAGTAAAATAGAGGGGTTGCCATCATTGTTGTTGAAACAGCTACATTCAAGGATACAAAAAATAACCACTGCAATCATTTTGTTATCTTGAATACTTTCATCTATTGTATTTTTTTCTCTTTTTTTAGCGAATTTCCCATATAGGGAATAAGCTATTGCCGTATTACTCATGGTAAGACCTGGACCCGGGACCGATTTACTTTTTCGTTTTGAAGTCCCTAGAGGCCAAAAATGCCAACCGTTCAAATTCATATGTAGATAGTGACACGCCGATCCTAGGCCAATTTGGATACTAACAGAAAACTCGTTTAAAATCTCTTGGAATGGGTAATAGAACAACAAGATAATAAAATAAAAATGTTCAATTATTTCTTCAAAATTGCAAAAAAATATGTATCATTTCATCTTTAAATCATGGTTATAAACAATTAATAAAACTTTGGATCAATTTTTAGAAAAAACAAAATGTTTTTTTAAAACAAGTAAAATTCTACAAACCAATAGTTTTTTTATAAATTATACAAATTAAACCAAAACAGTTTCTTTATCTTTTAATGCTTTAATTTCAGTAATAATTAAGTTTAAATATTTGTATTTAGTTCTTGTTTTTTCATCCAAAATGCTAATATAAATATATCTTTGAGGCAAATGAACTTAACATTTTTCTAATTCAACAATAGTTGTGTATCCATATTTATCTTTTTCTTTTTCAAATTTCTCAATCTTATACCTATTTTGTAAACAAATCCAAACTTTTTACTTTTTAATGCATTCTCCAACTCCAATATTATTAATTTCTTTTAGCAAATCCATTTATTACAAATAAATTTAATTGGATTTTACATTTTTGCAAATCTGCATCGACTTCTTTATGTGAACTAAGGGTACACCAACACCATCAAAGCGTTCATCTTCTACAGGCCTCAGAGCAGCTGGTGTGATGATGATTTTTTATCGGAAGCGGTGGATCCTTATGTCTTTTAGAACTCGTCTTTGTCTCCTTTCTTCAATAAGCGATTCAAAAATTGCATAACGAAAATGTTTTAGTGAAATATTGTCTTACTGGTCTTTCATTTTAATTTATTTTTGACGTAGCAGCCATGCGTTATTCAATGAAGAAGATTCACTTTCAGCAGGAAATAAAACCCCTTTTGTAGAGATTTGTTGCCATAGATGGTCGGGGTTTTTTCTAAAGCCTTTTCTCAACAGCCTAGTGAACAATTTGGAAGATCTTCAGTACAGTTCCACAATATGTGTGGCCTAAAACACTACAAGTTTCATAATTTGAGGATTGTAGCAAAAATCCCTTGTACTGGCTGAATCTGTCGAGACCAAGGTTCGATTCTGATTGGTAGGGGTTTATAGGCGAGGGGAAGATAACTATGGCATTTATGTCCCCTAATAAGTGTTCATGTAGTTCAATTAAAATATCTGTAGGATCCTGAAATTCAAAGTTTTTAACATTTGTAAACATTTCTTCGCTCTTCCCTGGTAGTGAACTTCTCATCACTATCAGATTTATCATTGAACTGACGGCTTTGCCCAAACGTGACTTCCCCTTCAGAGTCTGAGGTTGCTGGATCGGGAATCAGTGCCATAATCTTTGCCGTTCGGCTGAAAAATGTCGGAGCGTTGTCGTGGAATAAATAATAATCTTATTGGGTTACCTTTCATTACAAAAATAGTTTCATTTACAATTTGTGGAAGATACGAGACATTTAAAAAAAGATATCTGCTATCTTTGGTAATGTGCCATTTTTGTCACACTCAAATTGTTTGGTTCATAAAAAAATCAATATACATATTTAAGCTGATTAATGACCTGGGTTATGTTTTCTCATCTTTTATCTGTGAAAATCACTTGGATATATAAGTAAACAGCCTAAAATATTGAAATAAGAAGTAATTTACTAACCTACACGTAGCCACCATGCTTCGTTTTCGACATGTTGGTCTAAAGTGATAGTAATTGCCAAAACAGATATCAGAGTGCACTAAACCATAATAGCAATAGACAAAGAACCTTTAGATGCCGTTTGTTGGAATGCAAAAGTTAACAGGCAAACATGAATTTTTTTTTAATCCTCATGTGCCAATAATGGCACGCTGTCAAATTAAGGGTAAAAAAACTTAATTTAATAGATTTTGCTGATGGATTTTGTTCATCTAAATTCCAATTTTATATTTCAGGAACATTAAAAAAATATGATGGTACAAACTATAATGCTACAGATAATGTAAAATTAATTGATAATTTTGTACCATTTTTATTTTTAAACTTAGAGGTTAGAAAACATCTTATATACCAAAAATCTTTTACGAAATATATGACAGCTAGCCTGGCTATACTACTGGACTGAATTACATGCGGTTGGTACCAAATGAAAGATATTTTTCTGTAGATGTGCAGAATCCCTTTATAAATTGAAATAGACAAAAAAATAAGCAAAAAAATGGATTTAAAGTTACAAAATTACATGGGTCTTATGGATTGCCACGTTGGTAACGAAATAACAACAAAATATAAACAGAAAATCAAAACAGATGGAAGAAATTCCAATCAAATGTTTTATTTACAGTGTGGGGTAAAAATAGAGAAGTTTGCAAAAT